TGATCTCTTTATAGTGATTGAGGGGAACAAAATTGAAAAAAAAAACAACAATTGGTTAGCGTATTTATTTACGTAAATACATAATGAATATCTCTCACCTCAATCACTCGCATCATCACCATCATCATCATCTTTATCAGCTGTCGTTTAAAAGATGATGATCAGCAAGTCGCGGTAATAGTACTAGTAGTAGTAGTGGTGTGAGTAGTATAGTAGTAGTAATAGTAGTAGTAGTAGTAGTGTGGTGCGCGCTACTTATAAGTAGTTTATGACGTGAGTGTCAACGTAATGTCTGGCAGCAGAAGATGGGGGAAGATCAAGAAAGGAAGAGTGGGAACACAATGGAACACAATGTATGAAACGCATGAATAGTGACAATGGATTGATGTTTTGCAACAGGAACAGACCAGTTCGATATGATGGACTGATAATTTGCAAATGAACGATTCACGATATGATGTTCCGATTTTACTGAGTAACTCTGTAATTTTCGTTAAATACAATTCGGTTGGCCCACCTGTGTTCTCATTAACTACAGTAATAGTAGTAGTAGTGAGGTGCGCGCTACTTATAATTAGTATGTGACACGAGTGAAAACGTAATGTCTGGCAGCAGAAGATGGGGGAAGATCAAGAAAGGAAGAAGATTGGGAACACAATGGGATTTGTATGAAATGCATGAATAAGTGAAATGTCAGACAATGGATTGATGATGGATTGAAGATGTGCTAATTAACGGTTACGATATGGTTTTCCTACTTTACTGAGTAACTCTGTAATTAGCGATTAGATACAATTCGGTTGCCCTCACCTGTGTTCTCCTTCACCACACTACTACTACTACTACTACTACTACTACTACTACTACACTACATTTGGTGTCGCTGCCTACACAAAGGATGAAGATCCCATGGCCGAAGGAGTTTGAGGACGGAGATGTGCGGAGCTTCCTGAGGGATTTTGAGGCCGTGGCGGAGCTGGTGGGTGTGAAGGAGCCGTAGGCGAAGTTGATGGTGCTGGGGACTCTGCTGAGAGGTAGGGCAAAGGCCGTTTACGACGGCTTGGACGGTGCTGGCGGGGTGACGATCACCGGGCGGTTGATGATGGAGTTCGACAGCCCAGTGGACAGGGAGAGAGCGCTGCAGGAGCTCCGGTTGGCGATGGTGTCGGCCGATGGTGACCCGCTGGTGCTTGCCGTGGAGCTCACCAGATTGTTGCGCCATGCGTTGCCGAATATCGATGAGAAGTCGGAGGCACAGTTGTTGGAGTCGCAGTTTATCGAGAGTGTGCCTGCCGCCTTGTCCCAGCAGCTGAGACTAGTAAACGCAGCGCGACCTATGGATATCGGTGAACTGGCTAAGGTGACACGAACAGTAACTCAGGCCGTGTGCGGAAAGCAGGAGTTAAAGACTGTTGACAAGAAGATTGTGGAGTTAGAGCGTGAGATAGCAGCATAAAAGGAACGATAAATGTTACGCTTGTGGAGGGGCAGGACATTGGAAGATAAACTGTCCAACAAGACGACGACGACGATATTTTAGACATAACATGTGTTCCTTCCACCCTAGGAATCTGGAGGTTCTTGCACTAGTAGATAGAGGGGCAATTTATGCCAGAGTGTACATAAATGAACAGGAGTTAGTGTGTTTGATCGATACAGGGGCAGCTATATCGTTAATAGGCAAAGAGCAATGTAAGACAATCAAACCATATCGTAAACCGGTAATTTGCAAAACATCAATCCATTGTCTGACAGTTCACTATTCATGCGTTTCATACAAATTCCATTGTGTTCCCACTCTCTTCCTTTCTTGATCTTCCCCCATCTTCTGCTGCCAGACATTACGTTTACACACGCGTCATATACTACTTATAAGTAGCGCGCACCACAGGTCAAGTTAGCACTATTAATTACTTTCTTTTTAACCAAAAAAAGAAAAAAGAGAGCGGAAGAGAGGAAGTCGGTATACATTGTTATTTTAATAAGATAAGAAATATATGTTGTAATATTAGTTTTGAAAGAAATTTATTTTGAATGAACAAAGTTTTACTACTGATAAAGATAACAAACAATAAACAATTTTCAGGTCATGTACCAATCTCATTTTGAACTTGTACTTAGTAGTAGCCTTTTCTTGTTTTCTTCATTGATGTTGACATTTCAAATAGTAATTGATCATTGAACATTGTTTAAAATAACGGTCATCCTTAAAATGATGAATGAATACGGTGGACATTGAACCACACACACACACACACACCCGTACACATACACCTCTTTATCAACGATCAGAATAATAACTACGCATTGATTTACTTTGTACACTTGGAAGATGTGAACTTTGATGTGAATATTGTTTGATTAAGGAAACTGGGGAAAAACACCTTCACTGACTGACCTAATAGTAATAGTAATTCAAGTTATCAATATTTTTTGATTCATCCGGTATAAGGAGTTCTTGTCAAATTCCACAATTCACAACTGAACATCAAAGGGTGTGTACTAACTATATTTGGGCATAAATTGACTAGTTTACTTTAGTAGCTACTCTTATCAAAATTACACACACCCACAATGGGAGAGAAAATAAAAAAGGTCCAACGTAAAATCAGGAAATAAGGATGATTATGATTATTATGCGTGAAGAAACATGAAATTATTATCCTCATTTCTTTAAAACGTTCAGGAAAAAATTACATCAGTATTCACTGTCACTAGACATTTAACCTGAGAATATCATACATATATACATATATACGGTATATTTTTGTGTTACTGAATATGTAAAAATGTCTTTTTTTCGGTCGGGGAGGTTTACAGTTTGTGTTTTTTGTACATTTGAAAGTAGAGCGTTTTTTTCAACGAGGTGTGTGTGTGTGTGTGTGAGAAAAGAACTGGGCGGATATTTGTCATCGGAATATTTTTGCGGTAGTAGTGACCTATTTATAACATTTAATGTTAAAATTAAAAAATTTGACTGGTACAAATTTAAATTTTTATGATGGAGTTGTGAAGATTGTTGAGTTAGTATTTGAAAGCATGAATCGATCAATGTTATGTGGTGCTGTGGTGCGAACTACTTATAAGTAGTATATAACGTGAGCGTCAACGTAATGTCTGGTAGCATAATATGGGGGGAAGATCAAGAAAGTAAGAGTCAGAAAACAATGGAATGTGTATGAAACCCATGAATAGTGACAATGGATTGATGTTTGGCAACAGGAACAGTCCAGTTCGATAGGATGAACTGATCTTTTGCAAATGAACGATTTACGATATGGTTTTCCGATTTTACTGACTAACTCTGTAATTTTCGTTAAATACAATTCGGTTGCCCTCACCTGTGTTCTCATTCACTACAGTTAGACCACCAGTAGAAACCTGGAAGCACGGAAAGACGACCGTTTCGTCCGATATTATAGGACTCAACAGTGGTGTGAATCCACAACTCCTGCTACTCACAGGATTCGAACACAGGACCTTTGGTCTAGCGCGCGAATGCTTAACCTCTAGACTACTAAGCCAGCGGCATCCGAAGGTATTAAGGCCTAACTTCGGTCAATCCACGGTCTTGTGCAGCCTCATCCAATGTCTTCAGTGAGCACTGCTTAACAGTCGTAGTTCCTGAATTCAAATCCAGCAAGTACCGGGATAGTTTTGTTGACATTGTCAACAGCATGTATCACGCGGATTTTTATGACGTAACAATGGAAAGTGATCTGGAAACAGTTTTTCCATAGGACGTATTTAGTATTTGCTCTTTATAACAAACAGTGTCATACAAGCAATGATAATTATCTCATTCAAATAAATCTTACATAATAAGGTAGTGTTAAACCATTTTATCAATAAATAGATTACGTAACTATACATAACAGATAGAACGTACAAATTGACAGATGTATTTTTAATGATCACTTACTTACTTATTTACGCCTGTTACTCCTAGTGAAGTATGGGGCACCGACGAGTATTTTCCAATCTACTCTGTCCTGGAACTTCCTTTCTAGTTCTGTTCAATTGTTATTCATTCTTCTCATTACTGTCTCCATTTCTCGACGTTGTGCCCGTTTCGGGCTTCCCCTTTTCTTTTGACCTTGAGTATTCCAAGTGAGGGCTTGCGTTGAGTGTGACACAGTTGGGTGCTTTCCTCAATGTGTGTATCCTATCCACCAACTTCAGAGGTTCTTCCCGATTTATCCCTCTGCTGGAATTTGGTTTGTTCTTTCCTACAGTAGGTTGTTGCTGATGATATCTCATCGACGAATCCTCAGTATCTTGAGTAGACAACTGTTAATAAACCCTTATATGTTGTGAATGATAGCTTTCGTGGTTATCCAAGTTTCTGCCCAATAAAATAGAACTGTCTTGATATTTGCGTAGAAAATTAGTGCTGGTTGAGAGTTACTTTGAATTCTAGATGTTCTTTGGTTATAGAAAGGATCCCCTTACTTTGTCAATCCACGTCTTAACATGACCATCGTATCTACCTTGTTGACCAATGAGATGCTGCCCAGGTATGTAGAAGTTTCGACATCTTTTGAAGTTTTTCCATTCAGCATGATTCGGCTGGTGCACTCTGAGTTGTTTTTGAGGATTTTGATTTTTCTCTTGTGTACCTTGAGACCCCCTACTACTGTAGAGGCTGCTGCTCCTAACGGTTTAGCTATAAGAATAACACAAGTTTTTGTCAATAATTCATCATCAGAAGTAGTACGTCACATATGGATAAAAATCAATATCAGTGTTCAATTTATTGATTGGTAAATAACATTCTAAAATAATCCTTGAATTTTATTCATTTGCGCATGACTGAAAATGATTTCTGTTTAATTTTACATTCTGAATGTTTTTTTTACTAAGAGTTCAATAATTATTGAACACAGTTCATGAATCGAAATGTTTAGAACGAAAATTTAACACTTCAACTACCACTCACATTCTAATTATATAAATTTTGTAATAAATGAAGTTCATCTCTGTCGGGCAAGTTACCTGCCGAAAACAATAATGGGTAAGGTTACACAAACTTCTCAGATTGATCAGAGTTAGGACATGATCACCGTTGAATACCACCGGTTTAGTAGTTTAGAAGTTAACCTTATGCTTCTTGGGTTCAAGTCTTGCGAGTAAATGGGAGTCATGGATGCTCACCGCTGGTGAGTCCCATATCATGGGACGACAAGGTCGTATTTCAGCGCCTCCAGGTTTCTAATGGTGATCTAACGTTGATCGATTTATGATTGTAATATAAAACGGTCACCTGTATAATACTGTTATGAAAAAGAAATGAAATACTACTCATTTAATATTGTAGAGATCAGTTTTCTGTTTATGTACTTTTCGTTGATAGGTTTCACAACTGGTATTCTTCATTTTATTTATGCTCTAGTCACAAAGCAGAGCTCAGTATAACTCATAATGGTCACAGAAGAAATCCAAAGAACTTCAACTGACATACACCAACAACCATTTCAACCTGCTGTACCTCTCGATTTATCTTGTCATTCACCGACTTCGAATGAATCGAACGAGCCCAACAAACAACTATCAATCTCAACAATGATAACACCGTTAACCAATGACTATGACAAATCTCTGACTGTTATCCGCGAACAACATTCCTCACAACTAATCGATAAATTGGATGCTTGTAAAAATATCATCAATCAATTTCATTTCCCGCCACAATTAACTACTACTACTACTATCAATGAACACATGAATAATACATTGATTAAAACAAATATTGAAAAATTTCAAATGTACTATTACTACACGACTATATTGAAAAGAAATCTATCAAAATCAGATTGGCATCATTCACCACCGCTGATTACAACTGTACCAAGACCGGAACAATTATTAGCTTTAAGTATGTTACATAATTATTACAAGACAGTGAAATTCCCTTCAATCAATAATAATAATAATCAGAATCATGATAATAACAGCAGTACAATGTTACCGAAAGAATTAAATCAACTTGGTAAAAAAAATGATTATTCATTGTTCAATCTATTTACAACAACGTTACCATGTTTAAATGCCGATCAATGGACATATTTAAACAATACCAGCAATAATAATAATAATAATAGTAATGATCAATATTCAAATGTCACGTGTGGTGTTGATTTTATATCAAATTATTTAAATATGTTGGAAAAATCAAAAACTCACATTGAAGGAACCTTGAATTCAAAGTTCAATGATGAATGGTTATTATCATTACGACCGGATAGCACATTTTCAAATTATCCAATCAAAACCAAATTTACACAAACATCAGTCTGTAATGAGAATAACAATACTACTAATTATCATTATCATCATCGTAATAGTAGTAGTAGTATAAGAAATGCTCATAAAAAACATAAAACACTATCGAATGTCTTTTCAACAGATAATAATAATCATATTGAAATAGTACAAAATTTACCAAATCATTTCTCAACAAAACATGAACGTTATACATGTCATTTTTGTGGTAAACTATTTCCAAGATCAGCTAATCTAACACGACATATACGTACACACACAGGGGAACAACCATATAAATGTGTACATTGTCCACGATCATTTAGTATTAGTTCAAATTTACAACGTCATATACGTAATATACATCAAAAAGAACGACCATTTCATTGTAGTGTTTGTTTAAAACGTTTTGGACAACGTGCTAATTTAGAAAGGCATATACGTAATCATTTAATTAGTAAATATCAACATCCTCATCGTGATCAACAGTCGGATTGTTTGCCTAGTCAACAGAATAATCCTGCATTGTCTTTGCAACAATGTAGACAATCTTCTCCGGAACTACTAGTACCACTAGCGCTGCAATTACACGACAATATGGCGAAGGCAACAAATCTATGAGTTTATTCTGTAATAATATAGTCTATCTTAGGCAGAGATGTATGTTTCTTCAATCTGAAAGTGTCTTCTTGTGTTGTTCGGTCATAGATCTGCAACCACACATCCACACACACACACCTACACACACAATTATACATAGATATATATATATGATCTGATTTCTTTGATTTCTCAGTGATATTTATGCCCTTTGTCTCTCTCTCTCTCTCTCTCTCTCTCTGTTTTCATTATACAATGACCGTGATCTCTTTTATTTTTGATTTCATTAATCAATACTGTATGTGTATAACTTGTCTTCTTGTGCTTGTTATTGTCAAATTTTAGGGATGATATACTTGTTTCCCTTTTAGTTGTCTTACTTATACATATATATATATATTTAAACTACACTCTATGTAGAATATGTCGCCTGTTATCTGTGTCATATTGATGCAGTCAATGTTATACACCTGAAGAAACTTCTTCACATTTCTCTGTTTGTTTGTTTGTTTGTTCTATTTGAAAAGAATGCGATAGTTGTTTATATTGACAACCAGCTGAGCAACGCAGACAAACAAACAAACAAATAAACTAACTAACTGAATCATTGAACAAAAGAGCTATTTTGAAATAAATAAATGCATAGATAGATAGATAGATGATGACTACCGGAAAAATCAAACATTCTTATTCTTCTTTCTTGCCTTGTTTTGATAAATCATCCATCTTTTGACATGATGTGATGATGTGATGATGATTAGGATGATGATGATGATAGTGAGGTAGTACAAGTGAGTGAGTATGTTTATGCTTTGATATGTGGGTGTATGTGTGTGTAAGTAAGTGTTTAACAATGATTTGGCACTATCTGATTTTAGCCTGTGTGTGTGTTTTTATATGGAAGTTTCTAAAGTCCTAGCTAATGATGCCTGTTGCCCTATTTGACACAATGTCCGTACATTAAAAGCTCCAACATGTAGTTTAGAAAGGGGTTTCAAGAGACCAGGAACGACGTTTCGTGATCTCGCTTCGTCTGCATTAGCGGTGCAGTGAGAAAAGGGAGTGTGAGTAGAGTTAGTCGTAGAGATAAGAGAGATATTAGGGGGTGTAGAAAGGATTTGATTTTGACCAATTTGGTCTCGCGTGCTGTTACGGGTATGAGAGCGGTTGTCACTTCCCGGCTGCCCACACCGTGGAAGCTTGTTTCTTGAGGGACCTGAAAAGGAAGATAGATTAGTGTTGGTGCGTGACCGCAGAGTCCAAGGGACAACTGCTTGAGGCCGGTCACGCACGGCCTTTTTATGAAAGGTATTTAGAGGATTAGCTCCGTTCTTAAAGGCCCTTAGTGGGCACCCTTACCCAAGGAGACGGAAATCCGTGAGGTAGGGTGAGGTGTGACATTTTTAGGTCCGACCTTTTCTAACCCTTCCTTTCTTGTGAGAAGGCAGCATCGCTGCAGATGCTGGTTGTCCGAGGGAAACACCTTACTGCTGTCACACCCCTCTGCAGTCAGCAGTACGACTTCGCCCTCAGACCTTGGGTAGCTGCTTTTAGTCTCATCGTTCTCCAATCGACCAGCCTGGCATGGTAGGACCTGCAGGAACATATGTTCCAGCCAGTATAGCTCGGTTGGGTCATCACGATAGGCAAGCCCGACCACCACGTCAAGGTAGCAGCTACACCTCTAGTTCTGTCTTTCTAAACTTATCTCACTGAATCATACTTCTTGAATAATATCTTTTAATCCTAACCTCTCGGATCGCTTCTAGTACCGTAACTACCTCTTCTACTATTGGATTTGAATTGACAATTATATCTCTGTGCTGATGTGGTATGGCAAGATGAACTGATGTACTTACGTACGAAGTTCTACGTTGCATCTGACTGACTGACTTATATGGAAGTTATCGTTGTTGAGGTTGTTGTTGTCGTCAGTTGGATGAGTTTTCGTTTTTCATTCGGAAAGTTGATTTACAAAGTTGATTTCCAAGCACAGATTGTTATTATTATTGAGATGTCAGTCGGATTGTTCTTTTTTGTTAAAAAAACACGACCGTTTCAATGAAGTTACATTATGTCTTCTGTCTGGAGCCCCTCTAGGGCTACTACTGCCAGTACTAAGCCTGGATAAAGGAGAAAGGTTGGGCGTTCGAGTTGGAGACGACCCGCCCCGTTGAAAACTAACTAGCTAAAAAAAATGATGGCGTAAAACCAGTTTTTTTTTTAGTTTCGAATAGGATGAAACATGCATTGTGGATTCTACTTCTAGCCACTAATCCACATTTGCTAATATTATGCCAAGGTAATCTGTAAAGCATATACAAATGCCAACTAAACTGACCAATCAAACTCATAAAAAATCAATGGGGAAGATTGAAAACAGTCAATAAAAATGAATTAAACTTAACCACATTTCACAAGCTAGTTGCTGCTCGGATTCAGTAGTTAAGTGGATAACGGTACTGAGTTATGGTCTCAGAGGGGACACCAGCTCTGGGATGTGGCAAGTACATCAAGTTAAAGACGAGTACCAAATAGAAAGGAACACCTATTTTGGATTCTATTTGTAGCTAGCTACTAATCTATCTCTGCTTATATATAATACTTGTAATCTAAAGGTAATGCCGGGGCAATTTTACACAGGAGAATGATCAATAACAGTCTTAAATCTCACTGAACAAGTTCAAAACAACCAATACAAATGAATTATTTGTGATTTAGAAGGGTGTCTCTTGAGGAACCTGAAAAGGAAGGTAGATTAGTATCGGTCTTAGAGACCTGGGAGCAAGACTGCAGAGCCCAAGGGACAACTGCTTGAGGCCAGTTACGCACAGCCTTTTTATGAGAAGTTTTTTAAGTATTAGCTCCGCTCTTGTTTAAAAGCACTTACCGCTGGAGACGGAAATCCGTGATGTAAGCTGAGGTGTGACATTTTCAGGATTGACCTATTCTAACCCACTCCTTCCTTGTGAGAAGGCAGCATCGCTGCAGATGCTGGTTGTCCAAGGGAAACACCGTACTGCTGTCACACCTCTCTACAATCAACAGTACGACTTCGCCCTCAGACCTTGGGTAGCTGCTTTTAGTCTCACCATTCTCCAGTCCACCTGCCTAGCATGGTAGAACCTACAGGAACATATGTTGCAGTCAATATAGCTCTGGTGGGTCATCACGATAATCAAGCCTGACCACCACGTCTAGGTGATAGCCACGGGTGGGTAGATAGATACATGGATAATTCCAATCTATTTCAGTATTTTAGTTACAATGTGGTGCGTGTGTGACTCTAAAATTGACAATGTAATCATTTAAAAGATCACATCTATCCATTCAACTGAGCAGTCTCATATTAGATAGGATAAAATAACTGTCAAATCTTGTTTTGTTCTCAATAGTTAGTTATCTAATGAATACTAGTTCTTGATGAAAACTTACTTTACTTTGAACTTCGAGATATACTTCGAATGGAATTCGTTACATCATGAGACTTCAATCTCACTTTTATGAAAATTACAGAGTTACTCAGTAAAATCGGAAAACCATATCGTAAATCGTTCATTTGCAAAATATCAGTTCATCATATCGAACTGGACTGTTCCTGTTGCAAAACTCCAATCCATTGTCACTATTGATGCGTTTCATACATTGTGTTCCATTGTGTTCTAACTCTTCCTTTCTTGATCTTCCCCTATCTTCTGCTGCCAGACATTACGTTGACACTCAGATCATATACTACTTATAAGTAGCTCGCACCACAATACTTTAGTTCAATCAATGACTTTCTATTGCGTAATGAAAAAAATACATTTTTTCGATATGGAAGGAAGGTTCTAGATGATTCAAAGTAAAAACTGTCTCCAATTATAGAATGATTGAAAACTTTGGAATACTGTGCACTTGCTTCATCCTAATTTCTGATTTCTCAGTACAGTTAACCTTGGATCAGGCCTCTTTTCAAATATGTAACTTTCAGACCAGCTAAACAATTCACATTTCTCTTAGGGAAGAGTCTCTTGATGCTTAGAGATGCAAGAAGACATTTACTTCAATCACTGTTGAATAATACAGACTCATGTGCTAGTTTTGATGAGATATTTATTTACCCTACCATTGTATTCTGTATTGGTTTCGGAAATTTCTAAAAGCTCAAGGTTAGAGTGTAACCCTAAGAACGATGTTCACACAAAAAAGGTTTTCCATACTGCATTCCATTTCTCTTGTGGTCAAAAAGTCCAGTAGATTTAACCTTGAGTTATTAAAAACATCTAAGCGGACCGTATCAAGCGTTGGTCTCCAACTTTAGTAAATCAAGATTATAGAACAACTGTTACCCGGACTTATTCATACAAGCTGACTGAAATTGAGAACTATAAAATGAAAAATATCTTTCAACTCTTTTAGTTATTAACTTAAGAAATTTGTCACCATTAACTTCAGAACATGTAATGTTTATCATGTAAAGTAATTTGAAAATTCTAGTACTATTTAAATAACCATTTACTATGAGACTCTATCAAATTCCTAACCAAACTTTGACAAATTTCATTTAAAATTAACTTATTAAAACATTGAAATCATGAGTGAATCATTCTTAGACAACCATTAGGGACCTCTAAACACTGGACAGCAGTTTCGTCCTATCGTATGAGACTCAACAGAAGTGTGCATCCATGACTCCTGCCACTCACAGGATTAGAACACAGGACCTTCTGTCTTGATCACGAACGCTTAAACTCTGGACCACTGAACAGGCCGTCATCCAACAGTGTTGATGTTCAACTCTGATCAGTCTAAAGATTTTACTCAACCTCACCTCTTGTTTTCGGTAGTTACTGCCTACACCCGACAGGATCGAACTTCACTGGTCAACTCTTCTCACTAGAACTTGGAGAATTTCCTCACGAAACTGGTCACTAGTGAGCGCATTTTGTAATTATGCATTCATAGTATAATGGAGGTCATTGTTTTTATACATTGGTAGTCATGAATGAATCATTGTTAGACCACCATTAAAAACCTGGAAGCACTGAAATGCGACCGTGTCCTTCTGTGGCACTGGACTCATTAGCAGTGCTCATCCACAAATTAATTACATACTGTGATGGTCATACAATATCAAAACAATTTTAATTCGATTTTATGTGAGTGTATTTGTGTATTCAGTCGTGATTGTTTCCTGTTCACTTGTCTCCAGTTATCTAATATCATTTCAACTTGTACAAAAATTTCCGTAGAATTATTTAATTTAATATCTGGCCTCCTTTATTCTCAACAAGCAACTTAGACATTGTCGAATCCTTTCACATCAGTTAGTTGAAAAAAATCTTCAGTAATCTATATATCTCTATGTGCCACTCAGTACTCGTCAATGAAACTCTCAGTTAACAGTACAACTGCAGTATAAACAAATTTTTGCTGTACGTAGTTAAATAAATTGTTGTTGAAAAAATATGTCTACTTATAAGTAGTTTAATTTGTGCTGCATAAGTTTACGAGCAATATTTGTTGCATAGAGTAGAATTGGATTTCTACACAGGAACGAAGGGCAACAGTCATGCAACCTTATATCAATTAGATCGATACTTGAGGTAATAGCTTAAATTATTTACTTATTTACTTAATACTGGCTAATAAAACCGACTTGTAAGAACTGTTAAGTTACAATACTGACTTGTCTAGCTTAGAGAAATTAAGTTTTACATAACAATTCTTTTAGATTTTCAACACTATCCTAATTTTTGCAAATAAATTACATAGTTCGAGGCTCATACAGTTCATATACACAACGGGTAGTCACTTCGGTTCTGCCATTAGAGCCCTGATTCTTTCTCAATTATGGTGTTCGACTAGGTGATAAGTTCGATTTCCACTGATTCCCCAGGTCCAATAAGAGAGTGCCCCCTTATTACCCAGTTGCGCTACGTGGAAGCCTTAGTTCGGATTTTACAGCCAACTAAGTAGTGTATTAGAGCATGTTTAAGTGATAAAAAAGCATTTCAAGTGAAAAATCATATAACCTATCGAGTGGTAAACAACAGAGAACAATTGTTAAAATCAACACTGAGACTCAGCAAGCTACCACAAAATGCGTTTTTTTAAAAATCGGATACTAAAAGACACAATGAAATAGGAAAGTCATTAGTGATAATTAGTTGAATGAGGTGCTACACTCAGAATTTATTAAAGAATGAAGCCAGTGATATTGTTGGTCTTAAATGTAAGATCCATTTTTGAGGGCTTTGTTTGTGAAAATCCCTCCATATACACATTTGTAATTTGTTCTTATTGATTCCTTCAGTTGTACATTTTGTTAATCTGTTGAATTCCATTTTGTGATGATAATATTCGTATTTTATTATAGTTTCTAGTTCTTTTACCTTCACTGAGTCTCTATGTTTCTTTTTGAACTGAATTTATGTTGTTTAAGCTGATAATTTGTCATGGCAACAGCCATATTGATTTGTTCCTCTTTTGATTGTGTCAGTTGCTTGCTTTGACTGGAATTGTGCATTTTGATTGTGATTTGAAGCACACTTCCAGAATAAGAAACACTCTGTGTTAGAAAGCAACCAAATATTATCTGTCGAATAAATCTGATCTATCCAGAAGGGATAGAATATCAATTATCTGTTGCTGTTGATTTGATTAATTGAACAGTTGTTGGTAGAATAATTGAGTGGTAATATTTGTTTTGGTAATGATGTACATTTATATTTATGATGAATATTAGAACTGTCATTTACCCGATCAACTGGGCAAGGCGCGTATCTAAACTACCTAGAAAGTTATTCTATAGTCCAAACCTCAGTTTGGATTCTACAACAAACTATCATCGACTTTTTTCACTTGGAATCCTCAAGGCCAAAATAAAAGAGGGAGATCAAGAAACACATTCTGCTGAGAAATGGAGACAGATATGAGAAGAATGAATAACAATTGGACAGGACAAGAAAGGAAGGTCCAAGAGAGAGTAGGTTGGAGAATGCTGATTTGGGGGGTTGACAGGTGTACGTGGATGATCTATATTGTGTCACTGGCCTTAATTGGTTTTAGTTTTTGGAGAAACGATTAACAATATTAAGCATAAGACAGAAATATAGATTGAATTAAATGCGCTTGTTAAGATGAAACAAATAGATTATATCAAAAAATCAATACTAGAGAAAATGCCTCAAAACAGATGAGCTATGGGGGTATCACATACATAGTGTTAATGTATAGCTAGCGTAAATCATGACCTGGATCCACAATCGATTGTAAAATGACAAGTGTTAAATGCATACAATTATTATGATGACCTATCTGTGTTAACTAATGCTCTGTCTATTACGAGGGGCAGCATTACAACAACTGAAGAACGTCTGGAACTGAAAACAACTATCAACTAACATGGAACTCAGGATTTTCAACATAAACATCAAAACAGTCCTATTTGTATGGAGTACAAACTTGAAGAACTACCAAAGTCATCATTCTAAAGGTACAGGCTTTTATTCACAGTCTTCTACTCGAGAAACTCCAGATTCGTTGGTCAGATACCATCAACAAAAACCTACTATGGAAGGGATCAAACGAGATTACACCTGAGGAAGAAACGCTAAAATGTGGATAGGATACACATTGCGACCGACATGGTTTCTTACTAGAACTGAACAGTCACAAGATATCGTGGATTGATTGAAGTTAGACTTGTACACCATCATCTCGTACTAAGGCAATATGGCTGTTCAGTGTTCACAGGTTTTTAATGATTGTCTATTGTAGGTTGACTTGGGATATCAGTGCTAAAGCGAGTTGCTAACCTCGCCGTGTAAGCGTCTTATATCTCAGTGAACAGCAGGAATATCATCCGAGTTATGGACTAAAAAAATTAACGAAACTTTACATCACGTAGCAGTAGTAGTAATCGAATTTCTTCTTCATTGGAGTTCATTTGAAAATCAAGTTCAATCATCACCACACTAAAAAGTGAGCCAACATGGCACGAATCCATGAAGTAACTGGCAAGTGGACTGAGCCCTATTGGTAGGTGTAGACTAACTGGTTGAGTTCCGCGAGACGAAAATCACCGATGGTTAGAGACCTTGAATGATATGGCTCAAAAGCGTTTGCAATGGCGCAGGTGCATCCATTCTTTTGTATTCTCCGATATCCTAATATTCTGAATTCATCATCACTTCTGTTTTTCTCTTTCTAAATTTATTTAGCTGAATTACACTTCTTGAATAATTTCTTCCAACCTTATTCTTCTCCATTACCGGTAATACTATTACTACCTTTACTATTATGGGATTAGAATTGACAATTGCATCTCTGTGCTAATTAATGTGGTATGGCAACTTGAACTGATGTACGTTCGTACGAAGTTCTACGTTGTAGCTGATCGACTACGCTATTCCGAAGTGGTCAAGAATGCATGCATATGATAGATTAAGGAATCGACTCACTTTCTACTGGGGTGGAATATATATATATAGCCAAATAAGACTTTCGCTGCCAATTTTTCCTTTTCACTCAAGCAGCTAGTAGGTTGAAAGAAAGGTAGAGACAACCAAGCCATAAGATGGCACACATCAATCAAGTGACTGACAAGTGGACTGAATTATGTCGGTGTCGACTACTTGATTGGGGTCCCTGATGTTTAGGGACCCTGAATGACATAGACCAAAATCGTTTGCAATGGCGTAGATACATTCATTCTTTGTGTTCTCTCAAATCCTAAACTTTCTAACTCCTCATCACTTTACCTTTATTTTTTTAAGTTTATTTCACTAGATTCTACTTCTTTAATACTATAGTCGAACTCTAAAGTCTTCAATTACTCCGTATACTTCTACTACCTCTACTACTATGGGATTTGAACTGATGTACGTTCGTACCAAGTTGCATGCTGTTGTTGACTGATTGACTAACTCAGACAGCATAATACATTAATCACAATCAACACAGCTGCAAAATTGATATTCTCTTCAAGGTTAAGTTAAGTCAAGTAATAACAATTGAGAGAAAACAAAACAAGAAAAAAAACTGTACGTCATTATATTCTCTTTTACGTCTTCTTCATCTTAGAATTTTACAAATTTACAAAAAAAAATTACCAATTGTCCAAATTATTATGTTGTTTTTTTTTATTTGCTCCTGAAACAAAAATAAATTCATGCGTGAATGCCAAAAAATAAGTCGAAGAAATTAGACAAACAAGTATTTGAATCACAGCTTTATAAATATATATATATATAGTCTGATGAATAGAGAGAGAGAGAGTAAGAAATAAACTGAATACGATTAAAATAGGACAAAAGGAGAATTTCCAATCAATACTCATGATTTAACTCACACATGTGTATAAAGATATCTATATAAAAGAAAACTATAAGATATAAGTGTTTATTAACAACAGTTGTCTACGCAAAAATACTTCGGACAGACACACCATTAGCAACAACCGACACTGTGGGAGAGAAGAACAAACCAGATTCCTTCAGTGGAGGAGGAAATCAGAAGGATGCGGTGGAATTGGTGAATAGGACATACACTACGAAGAGCAAAAGGAAAAGAGTAACGCCAAGGAACACATTACGTCGAGAAATGAAGAGAAAGATATGAGAGGAATGAACAAACATTGGACAGAACTAGAAAGGGAAGCCCAGGACAGACAGAGTTGGTTGAAGAAAACTGGTCGGCGGTCTATGCTCCATTGGGGGTAACAGGCGTAAGTAAGTAAGTAAGTAAGTAATATAAAAGAGGATGAACCAGGCGCCCTCCACCACCGTTCTCGTACACACACAAAAACAAACAAACAAACACTGTCCACCACAACCACAACCATGATTTACTGTGTTTATTGAGATACTACTGGTGACGTCAACGGCGGCCGCAGTGGCGGCTGCATTACAGACAATGATGTTGAAGTAAATGTATTCGCAGCCACAACAGCGCCAACAGATGAAGAAGAAGAAGAAGAAGTACACAATAGATCAGGAATAATTGGAGATGACACAGGAGGTATTGGATGATATTGATAAACAGGAGGAATATTTGATATTGGCGGTAGAGTGGTGGTGGTGGTTATCGGCATTGTTGGATGATATGGTACGATAGAAGGTGGTGAATAAACACTAGTCGTTGGATTGGCGAGAGAAGTTGGTTTACGATGAACATAAGTTGGTATGGTTGAATAGGGTTGTTGGTGTTGTTGCAGGTGTTGCTGTGGTTGTATAAGATTACCACTACCAATATTTGAAAATTCTAAAATGGGAAAATAAGAAATTTATTTAGCAAAAAAAATAATCATTAATAGCTTTGAATACTGTTTGAAACTACAAAACATAACTGTTCTCAAGACGGAATAGTGTGTCAGTCAGTTACAACGTGGAACTCCGCGTGTACACACATACATCAGTTCAAGTTGACATACTACACAACATTAACACAAAGATGCAATTGTCGATTCTAATCCCATAGTGGTAGAGATAGTAGAAGTATGAGCAATAATCAGAAGGATCCCAGTCCAAAGATATTATTCAAGAAGTATAATCCAGTAAATAAATTTGAGATGAAAAAGATGAAGGTCATGAACAGATTAGATTAGAATTTGAGAGAAGGTAAAGAATGGATACACCTGCACCATAGTAAACGATTTTGGGTCACATCATTTAAGGTCTCTAACCATCAGTTACTATCGTCTCGCGAACCCCAATCTGATAGTCTATACCTACCAACATGACTCAAACTAGATATCAGTGAATCTATAGATTTGTGCCATGTTTTGGTTTGGCTGCTCCTAGCCTTTGTTCCAACCTACTCGTACACCATGAAACATCGCTTAGGCAGTCGGTGGTTAGGTATACATCTCAACTAATGAAGATTCATCACTTGATCTGCAAACCTTACCTAGTTACTCGTTTCCCGACAACTTGTTGTGATTCGGTGAGTTGTCAAAACTTAACTCAGAACTCCAGCTTAACTTTTAATACCCAACCCCAATTCTTTGTTGGCGATTTTAGATTAGAATTTGAGAGAGGGCAAAGAATAGATACACTCGCGCTATTGCAAACGATTTTGGGTAACGTCATTTAAGGTCTCTAACCATCAGTTACTATCGTCTCGCGGACCTCAATCTGATAGTCTACTGTTATGCTCGTCACTTGAGAGGCTTGGAACAATTACGAGTTCACCTGAGTCGTTAAACGTGAACAAGACAATAAGCCAGTGTGACACGACAGGCCAATCTGAACAGTTGCATCAACTAACTGAAGAAAATGTCTTGATAAGCCGAAGAAAGTGTATTCTACAAGCACCAAGAAAATACAAAGATCTCAAACACACAAATCGCGTTTATTTATGCATCATAGAAACGTCCTTTGGAGAGTCACTAAAATAGTGTACTAAATTAATACATCAACCAATCACAGCACAGCATTTTCCTGGTCGGAAATGTGATCTCAAGGTCAACTGATCAGCCCATGAATAAAATTAAGACATTTATCAAGTGAGTTCTGAGGATCTAACCTCCCAAACATCTACACATACCAAAATCACCCAAACAAGATGTCGGTAACTTCATAGATTTGTGCCATGTTTTGGTTTGGCTGCTCTTAGCTTTTTTTCCAACCTACTCGATACACCACAAAGCATAGCTGTCTGAGGCATTCGGTGGTTCGGTATACATAACACATGTCCTAACCATCTCAACTGATGAGGATTCATCACTTCATTAACTGATTTGCCATCCTTACCTAGTACTCGTTTCCCGACAACTAGTAGCAGTAACACACTGGTCTCGGTTTTCGACAAAAACTCAGCCGGGTGATGACCTTAACTCACAACACTAATCCGACCTTTATTAAATGAACGCACAACCTTTTCTTTTCACTAAAAAGAAATAACTCAACATGTGAAGGTTGATTACTCAGGTGAAAGCCATTAGTCCAGTGATATTTCATTGGTTTTAGCTGTCGGTTGTTTTTTAAAACTAATCAGCATTTCTTGATTGGTGAAATAACATTTTGACAAGATTAGGACTCAGTTACTATACTTCATAAAGAATTCTGTATGAATCACAATAATAGGTAAGTAGTTACTTTCACTGCCGGTCTCAAGCCCGGATAGAGGAGGATAGTTAGGCATGAGGTTTAATTTTAATTACCATTCAGTTTGAATAATTTTATGGGATATTTTATTGTGCCACTGTAATAATCAGCGTTTCATTTACATTATGTCTTAACTCTCTGTCCATTCAACTTGTTTTTGTGTATATTGCAAAATACTACTTGTTAATATTCAGTAGACAGTCTTATTATTAGAAAATAATTTTCAAGTGTGTAGTAGTGTAACACACGTTTATTAATTGTGCATTTACAAAAATTAATAGTATTTATTCATATAATTACTTCATTTCAACTCTTTCCACTGTTATTCCCAGTTCAATACATACCTTGAAGCTTTGCGTTAAACAAACAAGTGAAATATTTATGTTTTATTACCTGGTAACTGATGAAATCTCAGCACGGATACAAAACGCTCGATTAACTTTCGCCAACCTGCGTCATTTATGGCGCAGATGAGATATCCGTTTGCAAACCAAAGGACAAGCGCAGACGTTCGCTCCGTCCTAATTTATGGCCACGAAACATGGCCAGTCAGAGTAGAAGATATTCGTAGGTTGCTGGTTTTCGATCATAGGTGTCTCCAAAGCACTACACTTGTATCCTGGGACAACCGAGTAAGCAATGCTGTCGTTACGAAACGGGGGGTCCTAGGTTAAGATGTCAGTTCAATAGATGAAGTATTGAAACAGCACCATTTAAGGTGATTGGGATATGTGTTACGTATTCCCAACCATCGACTGCCTCGAAGAGCTATGTTTTGTGGTTGCAGGGGTAGGTTGGAAGAAAGTTAGGGGTGGCCAAAACAAAACATGGCACAAATCCATGAAGTTACTTGGCAACTGACTGAGTCATGTCGGTAGGTGTCGACTACCTGGTTGGAGCCCCTGAATGACATGGCTCAAAACCGTTTGCAATGGCGCAGGTGCATTTATTCTTTGTGTTCTCTCAAATCATAACCTTCAGATTTCCTTATCACCTTTATGTTTTTCTTTTTAAGTTTATTTCACTCGGTTCTACTTCGCGAATAATATTTCCGATGACTGCTAATACTTTTACTACCTCTACTACTATGGGATTTGAATTGACAATTACATCTCTCTGTGCCAATATGGTATGGCAACTTGAACTGATGTACGTACGTACGTACGTACATAACTCTACGCTGCTGTTGATTGATTGATTGATTGATTACCTCCTATTTGACTGCCAAGGAAGTGTTGTTAACATTAGACAGCTGCTAACTATCAATCAGTTGTCATTGATAACACAATCATAACACTTTTTCTTTACAAAAATTTAAACGAGTCAATTGTTATAGAAGCCCCTTGAGTTGAGGTCCATTTTGACGAATTTTCCCCCAAACAAAAGAACCGTCCTTTAGACAAACCATTAATTTTGAACTTCGGTGGTTTCCCGTCTACCTCAATTGTGTAGTAGTTAGATGCTTCGAGAGAGATTTCACAATAAGTCAGTCAGTCACTTTCCGATTTGTAATGCTAAGCTGGTGTGTAAAACAAACACATATTTTCTCCAAATAAATAAATCTGAAGTCTCTAAGCGCTGTCAAACCATGTTAGACTAACCACTTTCGTCCATTAAAACTCGATAACTGATTGGCCACAACTCCAACTAATATACAAATCAAGTTATCTATCTATAAAGGTATGAAGACTGAATGCCTAGAAAACCAACTTCTCCATCCATCCACAAACACACACACACACAGACACACACAAATAAAAACAGTGGGAAAATCGAAAGCACTCACCACCACGACCACCACCACCGCCTTGTGACATAGAAGTCGAGATTTGTGGAGTAAAATATTGTTGAGTTGAACTGTCCGAGGAGTGATAAGATATTGGTGTTGGCGGTAGACATGCAGCAGAATAGTACTGACTACTAACTGATGTTTGGTAATAAGGATCAGTAGTCATATATTGCATATAGGGAATATTACTGGTAGTAGTAGTAGTAGTATTAGTAGTAGTAGGAGGAGGGGCAATGACTGATGGAGGTGTCATATATGATAAACTTGTTGGAGGAATATTAACCATTCCAGAAGAAGCAGACGGAACATTACTACTACTACTACTACTAATCATAGTCGTCATAACAGGAGGATATGATTGGTTTGAATTAGTGGAATATGAAGAAGAAACTGAATGATTCAAATGTTGAAATCCCGATACTTGATGATGATGATGATGAGGAGGACTATTTACATTGACAAATAAATCCACCGGTATCGAAGATGATGATGATGCTGAAGATGTTGGATTCGGCATTGAATGAGGCGCAATCCTAATAGAACTAGAAGTCGACGATATCAATGGAGGTGATAATGCTCTGACATGAATTGTACTACTACTTTGAGGTAATTGATTCTTTTGATTAGGCATTAGCGGGATGATACCTTGTTCAGCGTAAGCTTCAGTTAATATAAATAGTACAGTATCAATAGAATCCCAATAAGTTGCATGACTTGTTAGTGCAAACAAATATTCATTGAAACTTTCCAATGGAGCTTCCTAGATAATGAGAAGAGAAAACAGATTTCTTTTTTATGTGGGAGATAATATTAGACAGAATATTAGTAAGTGTGATTCCATAGATTGAAACTGTCCTAAGAGGTTTCTAGTGATGGTCTGATAGTGGCGGGTTTATGATTTCAGTAGTCAAATCAGTGGTCCACAGGTTATGACTTCGTGCTCAAGATCGTAGGTCTGTTAGGATATTCAGCCAATATCCTAAGAGAATTATCGGTCAGATCCAGTTGGTCGATTTCTATTGGTCAAAATTATGGTCGTTTTTTAACTGTCAAAGTCAAAAACTTCAATGTTGCGCCTCTTATTGGTCATCCGGACTGTCAATGTCATTTTAAATGTTACTTGCTATTGGTCGTCTTAACTGTCAATGCCACATAAAGAATTCGATGCTGTTTCCTATTCGACCAAAATGTATAAATACGCATTATCTGTAACATTTTATGACCACGACCAGGGCTCGGTCCCGGATCCTGATTCTCTTCTGGATTCGGACCTTGTCCTTTCTGAATGCTTGTAGAATACAGGTTCTACTTCATATCACGTCCTCTTATTTTTACTAAATATGGGGGTTGGGATAATCGGATTTGAGTAGCATGTCGTGTCGCCGGATCCTCGATCCTCAGTCTCGTTTTCCGACTAGGTAAACTCGTAATAGTTCAAGTATATCAAGTTGACGTGTTTACGTGCAGGCGTAACATAAATCCACAGAACTCACTTGATAAAGGTCTTAATTTTGGATTTTATGCTTTCGAGCATGGGCTGACTAGTTGACCTTGAGATTACATTTTCCATCCGGAAAATCCTTGACTGTGGCTCTATCAAGGACGTTTCTATGATGTATAAATTAACTCCATGTGTGTGCTTGATAACCTCATATTTTCTGAGTGCTTGTAGAAAATACACTTTCTACGCTAGATCAAGAATTTTTAATACTTCTAGTGAGGGCTTGGGACGATCGGTTTAGAGTAGCCTATCGTGTCACTGGATCACTTGTCTTAGCTATCGTTTACCGACTAAGGTGAACTCGTAATAGTTTCAAGCATATCAACTGGCCTGGTCGGCGGCCTATGCTCCATTGGGAGAAACAGGCGTAAGTAAGTAAGTAAGTAACATCAACTGGCGGCAGGCATAACTACTTTCCACTCATTCAGTTTGAACAACAGGCTAGCCCTTCTAAATATATATATAATATATACATTGTAAATCAAATCAGATTGCACTAAATTATATTCAGTGAATTTAGTTACATTATGCGTCTCCGTGCTAATTTGTTTATGGTGACCTGAACTTATGTGCGTACGTAAGTACGTAAGAAGTTCTACGTTTTAATTGACTGGCTGACTGAGTTACATTATGTGTACATCCTAGTTAATTTGAAATTAAAATATTTTACATTAATAAACAACAGAATGCTCTAAAAAGACGAGGATCAGCCGGAAGTGGGAAGAGTTCGCTCTACCTCTCAATATTCTCTCACATAACCATGCGTATCTAGACAGAGACAAGCAAGTACTGTAGTGAACGAGAACACATGTGGGTCAACCGAAATATATTTAACGAAAATTACAGAGTTACTCAGTAAAATAGGAAAACCATATCGTAAATTGTTAATTTGCAAAATATCAGTTCATCATATCGAACTGGACTGTTCCTGTTGCAAAAGATCAATTCATTGTCACTATTCATGCGTTTCATACAGATTCCATTGTGTTTCCACTCTTCCTTTCTTGATCTTCCCCCATCTTCTGCTGCCAGACATTACGTTGACGCTCACGTCATATACTACTTATAAGTAGCTCGCACCAAAGTACTACTCACTACTTTCTCGTAGCCAGAGGGTTGTTCAGGAAATTGAGAGAATGAAAAGCGAGTGCTCAGCAGAGGCTTAGACTGAATTGGTTGGTATGAAGAATCCAACTACTAGAGGAGTTGAAAAACCCTGATTCAAAAACAAGAATGCATATCAAACGCAGGATTCTGATAGAATGACTGGCATATGAATCTTACTTTTGGTAACCAGCTAACATAGGGCTGTATTTTACTGCGTTACTTGTCTCATTTGCTGATGAGACTCGTAGGTCAGGGTGTGTGACCCTCTGTAGAAAACCACCTATTTCAGTTTGAGCGTCCGGACAATAATAACCGAGCCTATTCATCACAAATTCAAAAATTTATGTGGAGCATAAATATTTAGACGACCACGGGAGCAGCAGCTTCTAAAGCAGTAAGTCTCAGCATACACAAAGGGGAAAAGCAAGACCCGTCGATAAAACACAACATGCACCAACCTAGTTACACTTCAAAGAGAAGCTTTGGAAAATGTAAAAAACTTTACATATCTGGGTAGACTCATTCATGAGAAAGGTTGATCTGATGTAGATGTGAAGACACAGCATTTCTGCAATTGAAGAACATCTGCAACTCAAAACAACTATCAACAAGACACCAAAGTCACAATCTTCAATAAATATTTCAAGACGATTCTACTGTATGTGGCGAAGACTTGGAGAACCATGAAAGCCATCATCCATAAGATACAAGTATTTATGAATAGTTGTCTATGCGAAATACTTCGGATTCGCACGCCAGACACTAACAGCAACAACCTAATGTGGGAAAGAACAAACCAGATTCCAATGGGAGAAGAAATCAGGAAGAAGCTCTAGAGTTGGTAGAGAGGATACACGCATTGAGTAAATCATTCAACTGCGTCACAAGACAAGCTCTCACTAGGAACCTTCAAGGTTGAAGGAAAAGAGGAAGGCTAAGAAATGGAGACAGATATGAGAAGGATGAGCAACAATTGGATAGAATTAGGGAGGAAGTCCTAGGACAGAGTAGGTTGGAGAATGCTGGTCGGCAGCTTATGTTCCACTAGGGGTAACAAGCGTGTAATCAAATATTAAGACGCCCCCCGGCCTTTGTGCCAGAATCCAAAACTGATCAAATCAATAAACTCACAATAAGAAAAAAAAACTGATCACATCACAATTACCTGTAAAACATAATCTATACGTCGACCTTGATTCAATTGACTATTGAATGATAAATCATGTGTTATTAAATCACGATAAGTTGTAGTGACAACATCATTACGATTATCAGTTAGTTGATGATAATCATTCTCTTCTGATGGCATATCTAATTCTTCTTCATTTGACGTATGTATAAATCTACAATGTTTAAATTACAAGCATTCACTCATTCGAGTTATTTACATTTAAAAAATCGTAATCGATAAAAGTATAATAATATTACGGACGATCTTGAATATCGGTCAGTCAGTCAGTCAGTTACAACGTAGAACTTCGTACGTAAGTAGATCAATTCATGTTGCCATTTCCCCACATTAGCACAGAGATATCGAATTGTAAATTCAAATCGAATAGTGGTAAGGATAGTAGAAGTGTTACCGGTAATGGAGAAAATTAGGATTTGAAGATATTATTGTTCAAGAAGTATAATTCAGTGAGATAAGGTTAGAAAGACAATGGTAGAGGTATTTTGACGAATCGAGAAGATTAGAAATTTGAAGAGGAACGATCAAAAGGAAGTGAATGCATCCTTGAGGGCCATGTCCGTTCAAGGTCGCTAACACATCAGATGACTTTCAGCGCGGGCTGATCTCCAAGCCAGGTTAGTCTACACCTAGGCCAAACATGAGTTTAGGTCCACTTGTCAGTGAGTTCATGGATTTCTGCCATGTTTTGATCTGGCCGCCCCTAGCTTTCTTCCAAACTACTCCTACACTACAAAACATAGCTCTTCGAGGCAGTCGGTGGTTAGGCATACGCAACACATGTCCCAACCACCTCAACTGATGAAGTTTCAACACTTCATCTATTGATCTGCCATCCTTACCTAGTACTCGTTTCCTAACGACAGCATTGTTTACTCGGTTGTCCCACGATATACGAGCAATGCTTTTTAAGCATCTATGATCGAAGACTAGAAACCTACGAATGTCCTCTACTCTTAACGGCCATATTTCGCATCCTTATAATAGGACAGAGCGAACTGCTTCACAGTACACTCGTCCTTTGGTTAGCAAGCGGATATCTCGCCTTCGCCATAAGTGACGCAGGTTAGCAAAAGCCACTCGAGCTTTCTGTATCCGAGCTGAGACTTCGTCAGTCATCAGGCTGTCAGCGCTGATGAGACTCCCAAGATAAGTGAAGTGATCAACACGCTCGACTACTTCACTCCCTATCACTAGTTCAGGTGCCGACGCAACCCAATCTTGAAGCAACATTTTTCATTTCCACGGGGAGAAACGCATCCCGGACTTGCTTGCATTGTTGTTTAGGGTAGTCAGAAGACTTAGCATTTTGTCAGAGTCTTCACCGAATAGAACTATGTCATCGGCATATTCTAGGTCAGTAAGCGATTTTTCTGGTAGAAAGGTTATATCTAGGAGCATGTCTATGATAAAACTAAATAAGAATGGAGAAATTGGACATCCCTGACGGACACCATTTGAAGTCAAGTATTCAGATGACAGTTCGCCATAGGCTCTCACTCGACCAGCGGTTTTCGAGTAGAATGCTTGTATAAGGTTAATGTACTTCTCCGGTACACCTTTCAATGACAGACACTGCCACAGAACCTCACGATCCACCGAGTCGAATGACGCCTTAAGGTCCAGGAAGACAATTATTGTAGGACGCCTAAATGTGTGTCTGTGTTCCAGGACCTGTCGTAGTGTGAAAATGTGGTCAAATGAAGTAAAATAACAATTTTTTCTGCACACTTACTTATGAGCCAATGCAAATTCATGTAGACTACGCCATGTTGATTGTACGGAATTATAGAATTTATTTTTTAATTCAGAACCAACCCATGCTAAATTATCTTTTAATTGTAAATGTATACGTTTACGTCCTTTATAATGTGGAATGAGAACAGATTTTTCCTGAGAGTAAAAAAATAATAATTATTATTATCATTAAGATTCATGAAAAACAAAAACAAATCAAAAATTGAAAACACAATTGGAAAGAATAAATTGTCAGCAGGGGAGAGTTATGAAGATTGTTGAGTTTCAATTGGCCAACAGATCAATCAGTCGTACGTACGTACATCAATCCCAGTTACTATACTATTGGGGATGTTAGATCCCTAAAATTCGCTTGATAAATGCCTTATTTTGGTTTTCACGTTTGCCAACATGGGCTGATCAGTTGACCTTGAGATCACATTTCCCACCAGGAAAATCCATGGCTATGAGTGGCTGCTGTGTATTTTAGTGTGCTATTTTCTTAACTGTCCCAAGGAAGTTTCTATGATGTATACATAAACGAGAGTTGTATGCTTGATTGTACTGTGTGATTGCTGGGTGTTTGTAGAATATACTTTCTATGCTTACCGAGACTTCTGTTTTACCGTTTGGATTCAAGGTAGCCTATCTGGACGCTGGTTCATTGTCTCGTTCGCGTTTATCGACTAAGGTAAACTCGTAATAGCCTCAAGCTTACTTAGTGACGAACCCAATACATACCAAATTAGCACAGAGATGTAAATGTCAATTCAAATCCCATAGTAGTAGTTGAGATAGTAGAAGTATTAGCAGTAGTAAGAGAGAGATTAGGATTCGAAGATATTATATTCAAGAAGTAGAATCTAGTGAAATAAACTTGAAAAGAAAAAAAGGTGATGAGGAATTCAGAAGAGCTTCAACTCAACTCATGAACTGATCATTGTGGGAGATCACCACTGAAAACTTAGAAATATTGGATAGCCATTTCAACCTAGTATAGCACTGTAGGCAATGATTAAAGTGAAGTGAACAGAATCCCTGTATTTAACACACTTCACTTATCTGAGGAGTCTCATCAGTGCTGATAGCCTGATGACTGATGGAATCTCAGCTCGGATACAGAAAGCTCGATTAGCTTATGCCAACTTGCGTCACTTATGGCGTAGTCGAGATATCCGTTTGATGACCAAAGGACGGGGGTTTTACTCGCGACAGCAGTTCGCTCCGTTCTCCATATATGGGATGCGAAACATGGCCGTTGAGAGTAGGATGTTCGGTACGGTTTACCAGTATTCGATCATCGATGTCTAGAGAAGTATTGCCTCGTAGATAGTGGGACACCCGGAGCTGAGCCAACTCCTGTTATTAGGAATCAGGTGCTAGGTAAGGATGGCAGATCAATAGATGAAGTAGTGAAACTTCATCAGTTGAGGTGGTTGGGAATGCCCAACCACCGACTGCCTCGACGAGTTATGTTTTGTGGTGTAGGTTGGACGAAAGCTAGAGGCGGCAAGTCCAAAACATGGCAGAAATCCATGAAGTCATTGACAACTGGACTGAGTCATGTTGGTAGAAGTAGACTACCTGGTTGGGGCCCGCGAGATGAAAGTCACCAATGGTTAGAGACCTTGAACGAAATGGCTCAAAATCGTTTGCGATGGCGCAAGTGCATCCATTCGTTGTGCTCTCTCAAATCCTAATCTTCTGGATTCTCATAATCTCTATCTTTCTCCTTCTAACCTTCTCTCACTTAATTATACTTCTTGAATAATATCTTCAAACCCTAGTCTTCTTCATTACCATTAATAGCTCTACTATCTCTATCACTATGGGATTTGATTTGACATTTGTGTCTCTGTGATAATATGGTATGGCATCCTGAACTGATGTACTTACGTACGAAGTTCTACGTTGCGACTGACTGACTGACTCTGTATTTAGTCTGCATTACATAACATAGAGTACTTTTTTTTTAAATAAAAGCAAGTGTTACGGTGTATATATATATGTATGTCATACTGTCACCAAAATACCTAGTAATCGCTTGACATACTCCTTAATCCAGTGATTTATTTATGGATATTTGAATTTCTTATTTTTGCTCAAAATGCTCCCGTTATTATCTTGAGCTGACTGTTTCCCAACTTGGAAGGACCTAAAACGTCAGTGGTTCGTTTTCTCTCTCGCTCTCAGTAAAATATTTCGCGACTCTTACAAGGATGCTTTTCGTACTGAATATATATCACGTGTCGATTGAGTGCTTGCTGCGCGCTCGTCTCACGCAGCTTATGGATAATATGATTTTCCTGCTGACTTCAAGCTTCTTCCACTAGTTAGCTGACGCTGGGGAGCAAAGGAATAGCTTAGCTTGTCCTGTTATTGGGTGGCTGGTTACACGTTGTGTTCGCTAATGCCAAGTTGTATCATAATATCTCAAGCATAGAAAAATACCTTGTAACTGCACTATTAGACCAAATGAATTTACGCAAAACCAGAACAACCACTGAAGCAAATTTATATGAATTCATTATATTTCCTGGGTTCTCATCAGCTGTTTACAACCATATATATTGTAAAAACGTGTAAAAATGACGTGTGATAATAGGGTGAAATAATTGGACATCCATAACGATATGGATTAAATTAAGTCCACAGACACACACACACACATACATATCCTTCATACAGAAGAGTAAAACGTGTCTATGTAAACCCACAATGAAATTTTATCAAGTATTAAACCAACCAGCCCAACTCAACTCGTCTCAACGATCTTATGCTAAATAAAGAATTCTACCAAAAACAAATCTCGAGAGTTTCATCAGTGCTGATGCCCTGGTGACTGAAGGAATGTCGGCAAGGATAGAAAAGGCTCATCTAGTTTTCGCCAACTTGCGTCACTTATAGCGCAGGTGAGATATCCGTTCATATATCCTGGGACCACTGAGTAAGAATTGCAGTTTTTGGGAAAAGGCTACTAGGTAAGGATGACAGGTAAAGTAGTAAAACTTCTGCTACTCAATGTTCCCGCACAAGACTGAAGGCCCTGGGTTCGAATCCTGTGAGTAGCAAGAGTCGTGGATGCATACTGCCACCGGTAAGTCCAATACCCGGATCAAAACAGCCATCCAGACAGACATATACAACGCAGAACTTCGTACATAAGTACATCAGTTCAGGTTTCCATACCACATCAGCACAGAGACGCAATTGTCAGTTCAAATCCAAGAGCGATAGCGATAGTAGAATTATTAGTAGTAATAGAGAAGATTAAGGAGCGAAGATATGATTCGAAAAGTATAATTCAGTAAGATAAATTTAGAAGGAGAAGGACAAAGATTATGAGGAATTCAGAAGGTTAGAATTAAAAAGCACACAAAGAGTGGATGCACCTGAGCCATTACTAACGATTCTGAGCCATGTCGCAAAAGGTCTCTAACCATCGGTGACTTTCGTCTCGCGGACTCCAAACACGTACGCTACGTCTACCAACATGACCCAGTCCATTTGTCGGTGATTTGATAGACTTGTGCCATGTTTTGGTTTGGCCGCCCCTAGCCTTCTTCCAACCTATTCCTACACCACAAAACATAGCTTATCGTGCCAGTCGGTGGTTAGCCATAGGTAACCCATGTCCCAACCACCTCAACTGATAAAGCTTCATTACTTCATCTATTGATTTACCATCCTTACCTAGTACTAGTTTCCTAACGATAGCATTGCTTACTCAGTCGTCCCAGGATACACGAGCAATGCTTCGGATACACCTATGTTTCGTATCCGTACAGTAGAATAGAGCGAACTGCTGCGCAGTACACTCATCCTTTTTGTTAACAAGCGAATATCTCGCCTGCGCCATAATAACTGACTCAGGTTAATAAATGCCAATCGAGCCTTCTATGTATCCAAGCTCAGATTTCATAAAACAGCCGTCCGTCCGTCCGTCCATCCAGTGCTTCCACATTTCTAATGGTCATCTAACAATCATTGATCGACTGATTGATTGATAATTTCAATGTATCATAAAAGAACAAAATAGTCAGTATATTTAATTCTCTCTCTCTCACTCATTCATTACCTGAAATTCTGCATCAATCAATGTTTCCATACGATATGCAACTGGATCGAATGGATGAAATAGATTATAAAATGCTGAACATGTTGGTAAATGAAATTCTCTACTCAATGCTTGTATACCACGTGCTGTTAAAAATAATGGTATCGGTGAACCAAGTGTATATAATGCAGAAATGGTAAAACCTAATTGAGGATAATCCGTTGCTTTTAGTGACGATGATGACTTCTCCGTAGATGGTTGCAATTGTCCGTTTGTCCATTTCATAATCGATTCGATGATACTTTGGATTTGATGTTCGGGATGAGTGATATTATGTTGTAATAAGATTTGTTCAAGTTCTTGAATATGATTGTTGCTGCTGTTGTTCAATGTGGATTTCGAATGATGACGATGACGATCACGATGGTGACGCTGATGATGTGGTTGATGATGTTGACGATCGGGATGATAATTGTCAACAATAGTCCATTCATCAGTTTGTCCGTTATCTGATAATAGACAATTGTTATCATGAATAGAAGAATCTTTCAATAATGATGCAGTGATGATGGACAATGATGACGATGAATTATTATTCGATGAGGATGATAACGAGGAGGATAGATGCAAAGCATTATTTGTATGCATAGTATTAGTAGTAGTAGTGGTAGTAGTTAGGATTGTTGACCCAGCGGAATCATTAGTACAACTGCTACTACTACTCCCACTCCCACTTGTACCAATCGTTATAGTAGTAGTAGCAGGAACAGCTAGAGTACTTGTTACTGCCCCTTTGGAACAACTTATCACACCAACACCATGAGCATCCTCTGTCAATTCATTATTAACAGAATCTATAGGATTGATTAGTGTCAATTGTGAATTTGTATCAGTAATAGGATAAGCATTTGCAGTATTGTGATTACTATCATTGATTGCAGATGACAATGTTTCTGGAGAATGTTCAACTTTAGTAGTAGTGGTAGTATAAGCAGTTTGATGACATAATAAATCAAACGATATGACAGCACCTAAACTATGACCAATAATAGAGATATTACCCTGAAATCAGAAAATATATATACACACATTTGATATTTACAGAAATGTTTGTTTTCAAAAACAATTACTACAAATAAAATGACCATGTTGAGGATGTTAGATTCACGGAACTTACTTGATAAAGGTCCTACTTTTAGACTTTTTTTCGGGTTCTCGCACATGGGCTGATGGTAAGGCGTTCGCCTACAAAGCCGAAGGTCCCGGGTTCGAATCCTGCGAGGTGCAGGAGGAGTCGTGGATGCGCACTGCCAATGATGAGTCCCATACCAGGACGAAACAGCCGTCCAGTGCTTTCAGGTTTCTAATGGTGGTCTAACAATGATTGATTGATGATTTCGAATGTGTTAAAACGCAAACCTCCAAAACTCTTATCAGTTGACCCTGAAATTACACTTCCCCCTCGGAAAATCTTTGAAAGTCATTGGTTGATACATTATTTTAGTACGTTATTTTGTGGCTCTACCAAGGAAGTTTCGATCATGTATAAATAAACTCGATTTATGTGCTTGAAAACCTTATATTTTTTGAATGTTTGTAGAATATACTTTCTACGCCGCATCGAAACTCCTTCTTTTATTGAATGTGGCTTTCGAACGCTCAGATTAGAGTAGCCTATCGTGTCACTGGATCATTATTGTATTCGCTCTCGTTTACCGACTAAGGTGAACTCGTAATAGCATTCAAGCATATCAACTGGTGGCAAGCATAACAATCCATCAGAAAGTTCTGTCTGATTAATAATGTTGAACAATTTGTTAATTTTGTAAGACTTAACAGCAAAGCAAGTGGATAGCATTTCTACAATTGAAGAACATCTGCAACACAAAACAACTATCAACCAACACCAAAGTTACAATTTTCAATACAAATGTCAAAACAGTTCTACTGTATGGAGTGAAAACTTGGAGAACTACAAAAGCCATCACCCGACCGCGTTACAAGACAAGTCCTCACCTGGAATCCTCAAGGCCAACGGAAGAGAGGAACGCCAAGAAATGGAAACAGACATCGGGAGAATGAACAACAGTTGGACAGAAATCGAAAGGAAGGCCCAGGACGGAGTAGGTTTGAGAATGCTGGTCGGTGGCCTATGCTCCATTTGGTGGGGGGTGATATGTTCGTCACTAGGTACGCTTGAAGCTATTACGAGTTCACCTTAGTCGATGAACGCGAACGAGACAATTACCAGAGTCCAGATAGGCTACCTTGAATCCCAAGCTGAAGACAGAAGGCTTTACAGGCGTAGATAGTATATTCTACAAACACCCAGCAATCACACAGTACAATCAAGCGCACAACTCTCGTTTATTTATACATCATAGAAACGTCCTTGGGACAGTCACAAAAATAGCACACTAAAATACACAGCAGCCAATCACAGCCATGGATTTTCCTGGTGGGAAATGAAATCTCAAGGTCAACTGATCAACCCATGCTCACAAACGTGGAATCCAAAATAAGGCATTTATCAAGCGAATTTTGGGGATCTAACATCCCCAAAACTCCTCCCTTTTTTAATAGTGTGTGCTCCTGGGGTCGATTTGCATCTGCCCCAACAGGGGGAAAGAAGCAAAAGTAAGTAATCTAAATTCAAAGTAGATGATATGCACCGAATGGACCATCAGTTAGAAGTTATAGTGTGAGCCACGCTCTTCAAATGGACTTACGACCGGAGACGGAAATGCGTGGGATATGGTGAGGTATAACATTTCTAGGGTTGACTTTTTCTAACCCCGTCCTTCCTTGTGAGAAAGCAACATCACTGCAGATGCTGGTTGTTCGAAGGAAACACCTTACTCCCTTCACACCCTCCGCTACAGTCAATAGCATGACTTCGCCCTCAGAAATCAAGTTGTAGCTTCTAGTCTTATCATTCTCCAATCAACCTGTCTGGCTGGCATGATCGGACATAAAGAAACATATGTTTCGGCCAATAGAGCTCCGCTGTATCATCACAATGGGCAAGCCCGATCACCACGTTAACGTAGCAGCTACGGTCGGGCGAATGGATTGACGATTAAATCTATCGCATTGCGGGGTTGTTGTCAAGATTAAGTTTTATTTGTAACCGTGAATCGATCAATGTTAGACCAGTGAAGTTCAAACCTGTTCGGATGTATACAGGGTATGAGGTTGCGCAACTCCGTGAATTTAATCAAGTTAGACATTAACACCGATAGATACCGGCTCAGTGGTCTAACGGTTAGGGCGTTCGCGCACAATACCGAAGGTCCTGGGTTCGAACCCTGCGGGGTGCAGGAGTCGTGGATGCGCACTGCTGATGAGTCCCATACCAGGACGAGACGGCTGTCCAGTGCTTCCAGGTTTTCAATGGTGGTCTAACATTGATCGATTCATGGTTACAAATAAGATTAAATCGATCACTTTTCCAATGCTAGTTGTACCTGTATTGTCTTAAATGCTACCGCGTTATTCGCTTAGCCATTAAGTACAGACAGTTATCTGACTTACGTATCAGTTAGTTGAATCTTTCCGCTATATGTTCAAGACCATATATTTGCATCCTGTGTGTAGATTGCCATTAAGGCACAAAGTTAGCCATTAACACCGTTAGATGCCGCTAGCTCAGTGTTTCAGAGGTTAGGCATTCGCGTGCGAGACCGAATGTCCTGGGTTCGATTCCCGCGGTCATGGATGCGCACTGCCACAGATGTGTCCCATACCAAGACGAAATAGCCATCATTCAGTACTTCCAGAGTTTCTAATAGTAGTCTAACATTGATCAAGTCATGATTTCAATAAAACCCGACCGAAGCTGCTACCTTGACGTGGTGGTCGGGCTTGCCTGTCGTGATGACCCAACCGAGCTATACTGGCTGGAACACATGTTCCTGCAGGTCCTACCATGCCAGACAGGTCGATTGGAGAACGATGAGACCAAAAGGTGCTACTCAAGGTCTGAGGGCGGAGTCGTACTGCTGACTGTAGAGAGGTGTGACAGCAGTAAGGTGTTTCCCCCGGATAACCAGCATCTGCAGCGATGCTGCCTTCTCACAAGGAAGGAAGGGTTAGAAAAGGTCGACGCTAAAAATGTCACACCTCACTCTAACTCACGGATTTCCGTCTCCGGCGGTAAGGGTGCCCACTAAGGGCCTTTAAGAACGGAGCTAATCCTCAAAAAACGTTTCATGAAAAGGCCGTGCATGACCGGCGTCAAGCAGTTGTCCCTTGGACTTTGCGGTCACGCAACCAGGTCTCCGAGACCAAAACTAATCTATCTTCCTTTTCAGGTCCCTTAAGAAACAACCTTCCACGGTGTGGGCAGCCGGGAAGTGATAACCGCCCTCATACCCGCAACAGCACACGAGATTTCAATAAAAACAACAATCATTTTATACAACAACTTACATTGAAATTTGGATTACGCAACAGAAATAATTCACGTAATCTTTTCATTTCTCTCACTACTGTATTCATAATTAATTGTGAATATTTTGAACTTGTTGTATAAAATAATATATCCATTAATGAATCATTAGTGAATTGTCTTAATTTCGGTATACTGCCAAGTGTGATTTGTTCCAATTGTTTACTTAAACCAGTAACTGTATTCGAATGTAATTCATCATGCCATAGAATTGGTAAAAATTCTACACGATTAGGATGATGTGCGAAGTGAGTTTGATGCAGCTGTTTCGCTGTACGTCTACATAAAAGCAAAACAAACATATTACTGATAATACAACTACTATTAGTGTAGTGAACGAGAACACAGGTGGGGCAACCGAATCGCATTTAACGAAAATTACAGAGTTACTTAGTAAAATAGGAAAACCATATCGTAAATCGTTAATTTGCAAAATATCAGTTCATCATATCGAACTGGACTGTTCCTGTTGCAAAACATCAATCCATTGTCACTATTCATGCGTTTCATACAAATTCCATTGTGTTCCCACTCTTCTTCCTTTCTTGATCTTCCCCCATCTTCTGCTGCTAGACATTACGTTGACACTCACGTCATATACTACTTATAAGTAGCTCACACCACATTAGAAACAAAAAACGAGAAATAATAAAACCGTGGAACACGAGGATGCATGTTTCGTTTTATTTTGTGACACGTCAGCTGAATGTACTTGTTTATATCTTAGAATGGATGTTCACTACGGGTTAGGATTACCTGCACATGGAGTTCTTCTAGGGTTATTAATGTCGGTTCCAAGACCGGAAAAAGGAGGAGAGCTGGGCATGGAGTTAATGACTCCCATCCCGTAGAAATCCAACTCGCTTAAAAAAGCGCCAGCTAGAAAAAATTATTCGCTGGTCGGTGGCCTATGTTCCATTAAGGATTATGATGACTATATCGAGGCAAGTCCGCATAGAGTGCCCATTTGCTAACCAAAAACATATCAACAACAAAGATGATGATTTAAATCATTTTAAGTTGAATTAGGTTTTATTTGTTATGAGAAAAAATCCACACAATATACTACTTATATACACTAGAATTTAAGAACGAATACATCAATCAATCAATCAATAGCAACATAGAACTTTGTACGTAAGTACATCAGTTCATGTTGCCATACCACGTTACCACACAGAAATGTAATTGTCAATTCAAATCCAATAGTAGTAGAGGTAGTCGAGGTATTAGCAGTAGACGGAGAGGTTAGGATTAGAAGTTATTATTCAAGAAGTAGAATCTTGTGAAATAGATTTAAAAAGATCAGGATAAAGTGATGAAGAATTAAAAGGTTTAGGGTTCGAGAGAACACAGAGAATGAATGCACCTGAGCCATTGCATACGGTTTTGAGCCATGCCATTCAGGGTTTCTAACCATTGATTACTAACATCTCGCGGACAACAACCAGGTAGCCTCTATCTACCAAAATGACTCAGTCCACTTGTCAGTGATTCCATGGATTTTTGTCATGTTTTGGTTTGGCCGTCCCTAGCTTTCTTTCAACCTATTCCTACACCACATACCATAGCTCGTAGAGGCAGTTGGTGGTTAGGCATACGTAACACATATCCCAAACACCTCAGCTGATGAAGTTTCATTACTTCATCTATTGATTTGCTAACCCTACCTAGTACTCGTTTCCTACTCGGTTGTCCCAGGATACACGAGCAATACTTTAGATACATCTATGATCGAAAACCAGCAACCTAAGAATATCTTCTACTCTTACCGGCCATGTTTAGCATCCATGTAGTAGGACCGAGTGAACTGCTGAGCAGTAGACTCGTCTTTTGGTTAACAAACGGATATCTCGCCTGCGCCATAGTTGACGCGGCTTGGCAAAAGCCAATCGAGCTCTCTGGATCCGTGCTGAGAATTCGTCAGTCACCAGGCTATCATCACTGATGAGACTCCCGAGATAAATGAAGCGGTCTACATGCTCAACTACTTCATTCCCTATCACTAGTTCAGGTGCCGATACAAGCCAATCTTGAAGCAACATTTTGAATTTCGGTGGGGGAGAATCGCATTCCAAACATGCCTGCATTGTTGCTTACGGTAGTCAGGTAGGATCCAAAAGAGTAAGTGTTCTAACCACCGCTGAATACTACTTATAAATCACCACGTGAGTAGTACCCACCACACTAGTGTATTCGATTATAGGTATCTTCGAAGCATTGTTCGTGTATTTTGGGACTACCGAGTATGCAATACATGAGTTAAGAATAAGGTACCACGTAAGAATAGCAAATCATTCAATGAAGTATTTGAATCCCAATTAGCTGAGGTGGTTAGGACATACGTGACGTATACACAACCACCGCCTACCACACAGACATATACAACGCAGAACTTCGTACATAAGTACATCAGTTCAGGTTGATATACCACATCAGCACAGAGATAAAATTGTCAATTCAAATCCAATAGTAGAAGAGTTAGTAAGGGTATTAGAAGTAATCGGAGAGGTTACGATTAGAAGATATTATTCAAGAAGTATGATTCAGTGAGAAAAGTTTAGAAAGTTAAAACTAGAGGTGGTGAAGAATCCAGAAGATTAGGATTTGAGAGAACACAAAGAATAAATTCACCGTCGCCATTGCGAACGATTTTGAGCCATGTCATTCAGGGTATCTAAACATCGATTATTATCATCTCGCGGACCTCAACCAGGTAGTCGACAATTACCGACATGGCTAAGTCCACTTGTCAATGATTTCATGGATTTCTGCCATGTTTTGGTTTGTCCGTCCCTAGCTTTCTTTCAATCTACTCCTACAGCACAAAACATAGCTCGTAGAGGCAGTCGGTGGTTAGGCATACATAACACATATCCCAACCACCACAACTGATGAAGTTTCATTACTTCATCTATTGATCTGCCATCATCATCATCACCACTAAAACACATATTCATACCCCACACCACTCACCTCATATCATTTGCACATTCAATTAAACCTTGTCCTTTTAAATTATACATTGAACCGATACCATGAACAATGAAAAATAATTGATCAATTGGTTGATGATCACCTTCATCGATTTGTTCCATTAACTGGTCATCGAGGCCACGATGTAAATAACATACACGTCCTTCATAGAATTGACCAGTTAAAGACATTTCATGTGATAATTGACTTGAATCTAATTGAATCAACGGGGATGATGTACCAGCGACAACATTTTCTGAATTAATTGTTGAAGATAAATCATACGGCCATGCAAGATATTGAATCATAGACTAATAGTGAAAATGACAGTAGGCGGTATTTAAAAATAGACGAGAGGAAACAGGAAATAAAAAGGCAATAAATATTATTATCAGTAGAAATAACAACGTAAGAAAGATAAGTAAAAAATGAAATATTTAACATTAACTGAAATCATGAATCGATCAATGTGTGATCACTATTGCATTGGACGGCCGTTTCGTCCTGATATGGGACTCATCAACAGTGCGCACCCCCGAATCCCGCTACTCATAAGACTCAAACCCAGGGCTCTTGGTATTGGGTGTAAACGCTTAAACTGTGGAACCAGAATCGAATCAACCATCTCGCGCAAACTCATCTACTGTCTTCGATGAGCACTGCTTCACACCCGAACAAGGTTACACATTAACAGCGTTAGATACCGGCTCAGTGATTCAGAGGTTAGGGGTTCGCGCGCAGGACCGAATGTTCTGGGTTTGAATCGTGCGAGTTGCAAGAGTCGTTGATGCATACAACTAACGAATCCCGTTCCAGGACAAAACGGCTATCCAGTGGTTCGCTTAGAACTTTTTGATGTATCACATTTGGGAAAAGAAACTGATGCTTTCGAAAAATTAGTTAACTCTCAAAATAACATATATCAATAACAAATCAGGAATCGTTGCAAGCGGATTGAGGAGAGCATCTGGCTGCGTCACTAGACAAACCTTAACCTGGAATCCTCAAGGAGAAAGAACACATTACGTTGGAGACAAACATGAAAATAATGAATTGAAATTAGACAGAACTGGAAAGGAAGGCTCAGGGCAGAGTAGGGTTTAGAGAACGGTGGTCGGCGACCTATGCTCCATTGAGCAGCGACAGGCGTAAGGAAGTCCGTAATACAGATTAAGAAGGAGAAAAATGTCACTTTTGTCAAAAAAACAGCATCAACTGAAAGCGTATCCCAGTCAATTGGTACATTCAACCACTCTTGCCAATTTGGGGGGGGGGGGTTAACGTGTATCAAGTTCCGATCTGAGACATCGCACGCTGTCATACCCATATGTATGATCTCTTCAGCTCCGTTTACGTGAACATCAATTAGCAGTCAAACGCCACGACATACATACCGACAATTATGGACACACATTTGATTGGAACAATGTGGAAATACTGGATAGGGGGAGGAAAAAGAACACTAGAGAATTTTTGGAAGCTTAGCACTCAGGCCAATCAGCAATCAACAAACACATCGACATTGACCCAATTTATCAACCAATCAGGAAAATCATAGGTGACACAGGATCAAGAAACAGATTAAAAGGGGGAGGCAATCAAAACAAAGTTGCAAACAACGACAGGTCAAAAGACAACAGCAACCAATCAAGATCGAGGTTAGCAGAACAAGCTACAGGTCCTGCACGTGGAGAAATTCGAAGGCTTCACTTCTATCTGAAGTTTGTTGTTCAGAAGAACGATGAAAGCTCCACAACCAAAACAACCAGCTCAGAGAACAAAACACCACCACGATCCATGTTTTTCTATTATATAACAGGGCTTGTTCGAATTTCATAAATGTATTCCACTTAATTGACAATAATATGAAAATGTTCACGCACGCACACACGCATACACAAATAAACTAGGAATAATATTGTTCATTCATCAAAAAAAAAACAAACTTACTTGTGGACTATTAAAAATAAACACATCACTACCGCCACGTCTATCCTCTGATGGTAAATCAAAACGTCTACCCCATTGACCTTGTTCTACGCTTAATTTATATTGAGCTTCCAATAAATCACATATTCTTTCCGAAAACGGCAACACACGTGATTCACCTTGTGGTCTAAAATGATGAAAATTTAAAAAAATAGTGATATTAATAATTATTAGCATTATGGGGTTGTGAAGATCCTTAAGTTACACATTTTTGAAACCATGAATCGATCAATGTTAGACCACCACCATTAGAAACCTGGAGCACTGGACGGCCGTTTCGTCCTGATATGGGACTCATCAGTGGCAGTGCGCATCCACGACTCCTGCACCCCACAGGATTCGAACCCAAGAGCTTCGGTATTTTAGGCGAACGCCTAACCATCGGACCACTGAGCCGGTATCTAATAGTGTTAATGTCTAACTTGATTAATGCACGGAGTTGCGCAACCTCATACACATAATAATTAGATTGATTAGAAAAATTAACAAGTAGGTAATTTGAACAAATGGACAGTGGATTTTTATATGACTCAATATATTGGACACTTAACAGACAACAATAACACTTCAATGATGGATGATAACTGCAAGTCGATGGGCGGCCAGACCAATACAAGGCACAAATCCATGAAGTCATTGACAAGTGGACTGAGTCATGTCGGTAGGTGTCAACTATTTGGTTGAGGCCCACGAGATAATAGTAATTGATGGTTAGAGACCTTGAATGACATGGCTCAAAATCGTTTGCGATGGCACAGATGCATCCATTCTTTGTGTTCTCTAAAATCCTAACCTTCCGAATTCCCCATCACACTTTTTTAAGTTTATTTCACGAAGTTGATATCTTCGAACTCTAATCTGTCCGATTACTGCTAATACTTTAACTACCCCCGCTACGATGGGATTTGAATTGACAATTACATCTCTGTGATAATGTGGTATGGCAACATGAACTGATCTACGTACGTACGAAGTTCTACGTTGCTGTTTATTATTATTTTACGACTGCAAGTCGATAAAAACATAGTGAATTTTAAATCAAGTCAAGTCAAGTCATTTCAGGTTGACAAACCGCATTAGCACAGAGACGCCACTGTCAGTTCGAATCCCATAGCGATGAAGATAATAGAAGAATTACTGGTAATGAAGAATATTACGGATCGAAGATATTATTCAGGAAGTGTAGTTCAGTGAGATAACTTTAGAAAGAGAAAGAAAGAGATGATGAGGAATTCAAGTTAGAATTTTAAAGAACACAAGGAGTAGATGCACCTGAGCCATTGCAAACGATTTTGTGCCATGTTTTGGTTCGACCGCCCCTAGCTCTCTTCCAACCTACTGCTACACCACAAAACATCGCTTGTCGAGGCAGTCGGTGATTGAACATTCGTAACACATGTTTCAGGCACCTCAACTGATGAATTTTCACTACTTCATCTATTGGTCTGCCAAACCTGCCTAGTACTCGCTTCCTAACGACAGCATTGCTTAATCGGCTGTCCCAGGATGAATTTTAAATATACTGAGTTTAATCGTGTACTGAGCTCTCAAATCCTTTGGTGTGGGCGAGGGTGAAGACAGTTCACTCTCTGCATTCGAACTACTTTCATATAACCATACGTACATAGCTACTACCAAACAAGTTCTATTCACTGTCTTCTCGTGCACGGGGAGTAGGTTATTAACAAAATCGAGAGGACGAAAAGTGAACATCTGGCCATACCTTCCACTGGGGGTTGGTGAATACAGATTTTCTAAAACTAACTCATGGTTCATAGTTAAAATATCCTAGAACAGAAACTAATCAGTCCGATATTTTTAATGATATTTATGAGTAAATAATAATAATGATAATAATAATAATAACTGATGATTTCAAATGTGTAAAAACACAAAACCTCCAAAACTCTGCCCGGAAATATCATAACAGTGCTCACTGGTGACTAGCTTCGTGAGGAAATTCTCGGAGTTCTAGTTGAGAAGACGTGACTAATGGAGTTCAACCCTGTCGGATGTAGGCAGTAACTACCAAAGACAAAAGGGTGAGGTCGCACAAAATCCCTTGATCAGTCAGGGTCAGACATTAACACCGTTGAATGCTGGTCCAGTGGTCCGATGGTTAGGCGTTCGCGCACAATACCGAATGTGCCGGGTTTGAATCCTGCGAGGTGCAGGAGTCGTGGGTGCGCACTGCTGATGAATCCCATAGCAGGACGAAACGGCCGTCCAGTGCTTCTAGGTGGTCTAACAATGATTGATTGATGATTTCAAATGTGTAAAAAAAAACACAAAACCTCCAAAACTCTGCCCGAGAATAATTTATAATTGATACAATTCAATAGTTATTTATACTTTTGGTTTATTAAACTGTAAATTATATGAACAGTAATCATGCAACTTGAGTATATAAACGAATTTTTTTAACTAGAATCATAGTTTAAATTCACATCCTCTTACATCACCAATTATATATATATATATATATATATATATATATATATATATATATATATATATATATATCAACCCTTACAGGTTATAATGACTTTTATATTAGAGTACAAGAATTAATATTGTTTACTTGTTAAAGTTAATAAAAATATACAAATCCTAATCTAAATAATATTTACACCCAAGAATATAGTTGAAACTAACATGTACACATATTGAGGGAACATGAAAATTATTATTATTATTATTATTATTATCGATATTTACCCACAAATATCGACAAAAATGTCAAATTAAATCGTTTTTCTTTTAGGATATTTTAATCATGAACTATAAGTTACTTTTTTTATGGACATTTTACTTTATGAAAGAGTGGAATAAATGTGAGAAGAGAAATAAGAAAGTCAAGAGTAACCGAGATTAGAATTTAAGAGAAGATAAAGAACGGATGCGTCTTCGCCAGCACAAACAATTTTGAGTCATGTTGTTACTGGGACATAGATGGAATTAAAGCATGGCTACGTTGCTGCGCGCTGATTGGCTAATTTCCTATCCAATCAGCGCCTGATCGAATCTTGCAGAACAGGGTAGAAGATTCTCGTACTGTTAGCTGCGTGCTGATTGGTTAAATCTAATCCAGTCGATCACGTGAATTTCTATCCAAAAGCTTCTCATGTAAATGCTATAAATAAACTAACGTTGTATCTATTTTTGCCTTCGCCTTCGGCTCTTATTCCATTTAACCTTTTCTATTTGGAATATAATCTTTCCCTGTTCAACCATGTTTTGATTCTTGAGAACTTGTCCAGTGTATTGTGGTCAAAGAATACTAAACAATAGGATTTAGCCGGGAATTATCTAAGCAAGCGTTACAACAGTGGCGAAGGGGTCTAACTATCGGTTACTATTTTCTCGCGAACCACAACCAGGTAGTCTACATCTACTAACATGGCTCAATCTAGTTGTAAGTGACTTCATGGATTTGTTTGGTTGGCTGGTTGGTTGATTGGTTTGGCTGCCCTTAGCTTTCTTCCAACCTACTCCTACATCACAAAACATAGCTCGTCAAGGAAGTCAATAGTTAGGCATACGCAACACATGCCCCGTACCCGCTAACCCGATTTAAACCCCTGCCGGTTACCCACCTTTCGTCCTCTCAATTTCTTAAACCGCCCCTGCCATGAGAAGGCAGTGAGTAGGAATTGTGTGGCAGTGGCCGTATACGCATAGTTATATGAGAGCATTTCGAGTGGGAGAACGAGCTCTGCTTCTCATGCCAGGTAATTCGGAGAATCTTGAAAAAAAAAAATTTTTGAAAAGAATTCTAAATGCTAGATACTTCGTTATGACTAGAAGTACAAAACTACGCATCGCCTATACTGATACAAAAAAGAGATCCAAAGGCTGAGAGTTTAGGACCGATATGACAGACAAGAAATAAACCTGATAATCAGATTTCAATCCTATCGGGATTCAAATGATACACCAGAGCATTTTCCTGCAATCGCTTATGCTATGAAAGACTTACAACCATGATTAGCTTTGTGTTTTGTACATGAGCGTCGCATATTATTCTACTCCAGTAAAGAATTGCTACTCTATATAGTGGTCCTGCCTTTTCACACCAATTCGTTCGATTGTTTGTGTTCAAAATTCGGCCTCGTGAGCGGTTCAAACTCGGTTACACAGTATCATAGATCATCATCTGTGATCTCCATTCTATTTATTTATTTGAACAGTCTTCAAACCGTGCATCATCAAATGAAGTGTTTCAACATAAAAAAAGAACAGAGTTCATTTTTACTGATCCTGTCAACTCTAAGACCATTCCGGTAAGAAGCGTTTATCTGCGAAATAAACCGAATTATTTACTTGTAATGTTTAGTAAAGTAAAGTATTACTAACAAATCTACAATCTCCGACATGCTACACATAATGATTTAGGAATTTTTAAAGTTTAAAAAATACACTACTTATAAGTAGTACAATTCTTTACTGATAATTTCCCAGTAACATTAGAAGTATTCCGATAGAAAATTTGGCTTACTTATAAAACCATGTGGCTCGTCTAACTTCACCTGGTGATTCATCCCAATAAACTGAACGACGTTCTCTTTTCTTCAAATGAACATCATAACGACCTCCATCAACTTGAACAATAATTTCATGCGTTTCAATTGTTGCTTTCATATCCACTGATGAAGACGTATGGATAATGGATGAACTGGTTAAATTTTCTGATGTAGTCTCTGAATAACATGATCGCAAGAACTTGGTTTCAATCTGATAAGAATCATGACGTGAAAATGGCCACCAAACGGATACATTTCCAAAAGTTGTAGAATAGAACCAATAGGCTGCGACTGGATGATAAGTAGTCTCTGAAAAATACAGAGTGGTAAAATAAATAAAGTTAGGAATATCTATACATGTTTAAATCATCAATCAATCATTGTTAGACCACCATAAGAAATCTGGAAGCACTGAAAAACGGCCGTTTCATCCTGGCATGGGACTCATCAGCAGTGCGCATCCGTAATTCCTGTACCTCGCAGGATTCGATACCATGACGAAACGTCCGTCCAGTGCTTCCAGGTTTCTAATAGTGGTCTAACAATGATTGATCGATGATTTTATTGTGTAAAAACACTAATCTCCATAAACTATAATTGAAAAATATTCATGCAAGTAGATAGATATTTGTAAGTTGAAGATGATTTATACCACTAGCCGATATGGTACCAAATACCAACGATAACTGGAAAGCAGTGGACAATTGTTCAACATAAAACTAATGAAATATTATATCGGGTTATGATTCAAATCTGTTTATATATCAATTACAACGTGGAACTTTCTACGTACGTACATCAGTTCAAGCTGCTATACCACGGTAGCACGGAGATCCAATTGTCGATTCCAATCCTATAGCGCAATATGTAATAAGACTTGGTTTGTTGTAACATACTGCCAGTGTAATTAGGTACAGGTTTGTGTATTCAACATTGAATTACATCTTCACGTTGTGAGAGTTTATGATGACAATACAGCTGCTCAAATCCTTAATTCACTTAGTGATCAAAGAGTACACGTTTGATAGTATTGTAGTGAATGAAAACACAGGTGGGGCAACCGGATTGTATTTAACGAAAATTACAGAGTTACTCAGTAAAATAGGAAAGCCATATCGTAAATTGTTAATTTGCAAAATATCAGTTCATCATATCGAACTGGACTGTTCCTGTTGCAAAACATCAATCCATTGTCACTATTCATGCGTTTCATACAAATTCCATTGTTTTCTAACTCTTCCTTTCTTGATCTTTCCCCATCTTCCGCTGCCAGACATTACATTGACACTCACGTCATATACTACTTATAAGTAGCTCACACCACAGTATGATGAACAAAACTTTTCTACCAGTAAACTATTAGAATGAATACAGATTTAGTGATATAGGTTGTTATCATGAAATCAAACGAATTTAAGATATTTCGACAGTTGAAATCACGAAATGATCTTAGCTAGACCACCATTAGAATCCTGGAAGCACTGGACGGTTGTTTCGTCCTGGTACCGGAATTAATGAAACTCAACAATCTTTCAAACTCGTTAATAAAAAATCATAAAATGTGCTCACTAGTGACTAGCTACATGAGGGAATTTTAGTGAGAAGCCGTGACAAGTGGAGTTCAACTCGGTCGGGTGTAGGCAGTTACCTAGCGAAAACAATGGGTGGAGTTGCGCAATAATTAGGATTGGTTGATGTTAGATATTAACACTGTTGGATCCATCTCAGTAGCCTAAGTGTTAAGAGTTCGCGCGCAAACCCTAAGGCACCGGGTTCGATTCCCGCGGACGAGAGTCATCGGCATCCACCCCATACTAGGATGAAACGGCTATGTCCAAGACAACACCTAACCATCTTGATGAGTTCCAATATGGGTAATATGCTTACGTAATTGCAGAATTCGATTACCCCTTAACGATATAATAAAAACTACAAAGTAATGTGTGATCCAGTAATCAATGAAGATTAAACTAATCAATTCACATTTTAAAAAAAACACCACGGGTAATAAATAATATCGATGATTATTTTATTAGTACAAAAAATTGTAAAAAAATTTAATCGAATTGACTATCACACTGATATTGGATTATTTTAATCTTTATTTGCTATCCACTTTTTCTTCTACTTTGAACTTGCCTTGACAAGTTTGGCCAACATACATTTGTGTCAGGTTCTATGTTGATATTATGTGAGAGTAGAAGATATTCGTAGCTTACTGGTTTTCGATCATAGGTGTCTTCGAAGCATTGCTCGTATATTATGGGATAATTGAGTAAGCAATGCATTTATTAGCAAACGGGTGCTAGGTAAGAATGGCAGATCAATAGATGAAATATTGAAACTTCATCAGATGAGGCGGTTGGGACATGTGTTGTGTGTGCCTAACCACCGACTGCCTCGTAGAGCTATATTTTGTGGTGTAGGAGTAGGTTGGAAGAAAGCTAGGGGCAGCCACACCAAAACATGACACAAATCCATGAAGTCATTGGTTGGGGTCCGCGAGATGAGAGTAATCAATGGTTAGCGACTCTGAATGACATGGATCAAAAACGTTTGCAATGGCGCCGGTGCATTCATTCTTTGTGTTCTCTCAAATCCTAAACTTTTTAATTCTTCATCACTTGATCCTTATCTTTTTAAGTTTATTTCACTAGATTCTACTTCTTGACTAATAATCTTCTAATCCTTACGTCTCCGACTACTGCTGATACCTTTACTACCTCTATTACTATTGGATTTGAATTGACAATTACAAATCTGTGCTAACGTGGTATGGCGACATGAACTGATGTACGTACGTACGAAGTTTTACGTTGCTATTGATTGGTTGATTGATTGATTGATACAATGTCTGTCTGAACTGTGAGAATCTATCATTGATTCAAATTAACTGAGAAAATTTCCTATTCAACAAACTTTACTAGTGTTAGGATATTCATCCAATATCCTAAGTGAATTATTTGTAAATCTAATTCTATTGGTCAATTCCTAATGCTCAATATTATGGTCGTTCTCACTGTCAATGTCAAAGACTTCAATGATGGTTCCTATTTAACCTAACTGTATAAATACGCATTATCTGTAACGTTTTATGACCCAAATCCCTAGTCCGGGATCCTCATCCTTTTCTCGACTCGGACATCGTACTTTCTGGATGTTTGTAGAATACACGTTCTACTTCATATCAGGTATTCGTCTTTTACTCAATATGGGGGTTGGGACACTGTTGTGTCGCCGGATCATCGGTCCTCGCCCTCCTTTTCCAAATTAAGGTAAACTCGTAATAGATCAAGCGTATCAAATGACGTGTTCCAATGCACTCGTAACAACTAGATCTGCTTCCATTTGAATCCCCCATACAAAAAGAAACAATGTAGATGTTTGACGGAGAGTATACAGCATTTTAAACATTTTCTTGTATACTCAAATAATTACATATACACGCACAAAATACTATATGCATCTGAATACACGAAATCATGACAACTACAGACACTTGTGTGAACAATTCTCATTATTCCAGTATATATTTATGAGCGTCTAATATGTACTGATTTTGAACATGGCTGCTCCACTTTGATTTGAGCAGCAAGGCGTTTATTACTAGCCCTCATACTGTTTGGTTTAAAGTCCGCCAAATTAAATTACAATTTAACATCACAAAAAAATATAAATAAGCTCACTCATCGATACGGAAGAGGATGACATTGAAGGTGGACCAACATTTTGATTGGTATATTGTGTTTGTCGATCTGTTGTTTCCATAAGCACAGGGAGTTGAGCAGTTTGTACATCATCATGTTGTGCATTACTTGGTGGTAGTAATGGGGGAAATAGTTGATTCGCGTCAAAAGTTGTAGTAGATGGTTTGAATGAATTGGAAGGTTTCTCTTTCAGGCTGGTTGAAGTGTTCGATACAAAAGTATTAATATCTGGAGGTAAAACATAACGAGGTCGCTGGTTCGATTTGACTGTTGTAGAAGCAATTGGTTTAGACTTGAAGTGAAAAAAAAACAGAAATAGTTTTTTTTTTAAAAAAAAACGATTGCACTTAAAACTCAGTAATAAATATACTGACCATTTAGTAGACAGATACAACGCAGAACTTCGTACGTAAGTACATCAGTTCAGGTTGCCATACCACATCAGCACAGAGACGCAAATGTCAGTTCAAATCCAAAAGTGTTAGCAGTAATGGTGAAGATTAGGTAGCGAAGAAATGATTCGAGAAGTTTAATTCAGTAAGATAAATTTAGAAGGAGAAACGTAGGGATTATGAGGAATACAGAAGCTTAGAATTTCATAGAACACAAAGAGTGGATGCACCTGCGTCATTGCCAACGATTCTGAGCTATGTCGTTCAAGGTCTCTAAACATCGGTGACTATCGTCTCGCGGACCCCAACCAACATGAATCAATCCACTTGTCAGTGACTTCATGGATTTGTGCCATGTTTTGGTTCGGTCGCCCCTACCTTTCTTCCAATCTACTCCTACACTGAAAAACATAGCTCATCGAGGCAGTCGGTGATTAGCCGTACGTAACACCTCACCCTACCTCACGGATTTCCGTCTCCGGCGGTAACGGTGCCAACTAAGGGCTTTCAAGAGAGGAGCTAATACTCAAAAACCCTTCATAAAAAGGCCGTGCGTGACCGGCCTCAAGCAGTTGTCCCTTGGGCTCTGCGGTCACGCACCCAGGTCTCCAAGACCAACACTAATCCATCTTCCTTTTCAGGTCCCTCAAGAAACAACCTTCCACGGTGTGAGCAGCCGGGAAGTGACAACCGCCCTCATACCCATAACAGCACGCGAGACCAAATTGGTCAAAATCAAATCCTTCCTACAACCCCTAATACCTCTCTTATCTCCACTACTAACTTTTCGCACATACTGACCATTTACAAAAAAACTAACCAACATAAAGTGATATTTAGACACAACATTAAGCTCTGTGCCAAATTATCATGAAAAAATAAAAAACACTTTCATACTATCAATAAAAAATCAAAACAAAAGTCAGAAGACTGTAATTTCAGTCGATATTCTTTGTAATCATATGCAAAGTAAACAATGAAGCTTATTTTTTTTTTAAGATGAGAAAAAAGTGAAAAATTCAAATAACAAGCATGATTGGAACATCTATTCTTCTGAGTACATATACTACTAGTAAGCAACGCTGTCGTAAGGAAACGAGTACCATTAGGTAGAGATGGCAAATCAATAAATGAAGTGGTGAAACTTCATCAGTTGAGGTGGTTGGGATATGTGTTACGTATGTCTAACTACCGACTGCCTCAATGAGCGATGTTTTATGGTGTAGGAGTCAGTCAGTCAGATGCAACGTAGAACTTCGTACGTAAGTACATCAGTTCATGTTGCCATACCACATCAGCACAGAATTATAATTGTCAATTCAAATCCAATAGTAGAAGAGGTAGTAAAGGTATTAGAAGTAATCGGAGAGGTTAGCATTAGAAGATATTATTCAAGAAGTATGATTCAGTGAGATAAGTTTAGAAAGTCAAAACTAGAGGTGTTGAAGAATCCAGAAGATTAGGATTTGAGGAGAACACAAACAGTGGATGCACCTGCGCTACTTCATAGACTTCTGCCATGTTTTGGCCTGGCCGCCCCTAACTTTCGTCCATCCTACTCCTACGCTACAAAACAAAGCTCGTCGAGGCAGTCGGTGGTTAGGGACACGCAGCACATGTCCCAACCACCTCAACTGATGAAGTTTCATTACTTCATCTATTAATCTGTCATTCTTACGGTGTAGGAGTGGGTTGAAAGAAAGCTAAGGACGGTCAAACCAAAACATGGCACAAATCCATGAAGTCACCGATAACTGGATTGAGTCATGTTGGTAAGTGCAAACTACCTGGTTGGGGTCTGCCGGACGATTGTAACAGAATGACATGGTTCAAAATAGGTGTATTCACGCTTTAAGGACTGTCAAATTTTAATCTTCTGAATTCCTCATTACTAAATTACACCTCTAGAATAATTTCTTCAAACCTTAATCTTCATTACCGCTAATATTTCTACTATCTATTCCACTATGGGATTTGAATTGACGATTGAATCTCTGTGCTAAGTACAAAGTTCTACGTTGTAATTGACTGGATGATATATACATACATACGAACAACAACTTACAGTTAAACTATTGTGAAATTATTAAATACTCAATAATCATTTGTTTAGGAAGTGGGTTACTTACTTACAAGAAACACAATCACCTAATCATGTGAATATATTGATTGATATGTAGCTGATATATAACACACAAAAAAAATAAGAAGAAGAATTAGATTCTTCTCACAAATGCTTGCTACGCAGTTACTTGCCTTATTCTTATGTCAAATGAAAATCCCATAATGATAAAGATAGTAGAGGTATTAATGGTAATGAAGAAGACTAGGGTTTGAAGATTAATATTCAAGAAGTATAATTCAGTGAGATAAGGTTAGAAAGACAAAGGAAGAGGTGCTGATGATTCCAGAAGATTAGAATTTGAGAGAGCTCAACGAATGGATGCACTTGCGCCAATGCAAACGATTTTGAGCCATTTCGTTCAAGGTCTCTAACCATTGGTGACTTTCGTCTCGCGGACCCCAACCAGGTAGCCTACATCTACCAACATGACTCAGTCCACTTGTCAGTGACTTCATGGATTTCTGCCATGTTGTGATAGTGCAAGGAATTGTATCGCCATGGGAAAAGTTGGAACTTTTCTTCTTGTTTCAACTTACTAGTTTAGTTAACCATAGGTAAACCAAGTGACTTTTAACTAAAATTCTATGAATGGTCAAAAGCAGACAGACAGATACAACGCAGAACTTCGTACATAAGTACATCAGTTCACGTTGCCATACCACGACCGTAGCTGCTACCTTGACGTGGTGTCGGGCTTGCCTATCGTGATGATATAACCGACCTATATTGACTGGAACATATGTTCCTGAAGGTTCTACCATACCAGGCAGGTTGACTGGAGAACGGTGAAACTAAAAGGAGCTACTCATGGTCTGAGGGCGAAGTCGTACTGCTGACTGTACAGGGGTGTGACAGCAGTAAGGTGTTTCCCTCGGACAACAAGCATCTGCAGTGATGCTGTCTTCTCACAAGGAAGGAAGGGTTAGGAAAGGTCGACCCTAAAAATGTCACACCTCACCCTACCTCACGGATTTCCGTCTCCGGCGGTAACGGTGCCCACTAGGGATTTTAAAAGAGGAGCTAATACTCAAAAACCCTTCATAAAAAGGCCGTGCGTGACCGGCCAAAAGCAGTTGTCCCTTGGACTCTGCGGTCACGCACCCAGGTCTCCAAGACCAACACTAATCTATCTTCCTTTTCAGGTCCCTCAAGAAACAACCTTCCACGGTGTGAGCAGCCGGGAAGTGACAACCGCCCTCATACCTGTAACAGCACACGAGACCATATTGGTCAAAATTAAATGGTTAAAAGAAACAAGATGTGAATAGATACTGTTGTCTGTTGATTATTTTTGTTTACAGTTCAGAAAGGATCTTTGAAGCCATATCAAATAAATAAACATGTTATTGAATCTTTAAACCAACAGGTTTGAAATTCCAGTAAAAAGTCGCAATTACTGAAGCCTTTTATTAAATAATAGGCCATAGAAGGATAACTCAAGTAACACGATTAAGTGGTCACCGATTTCCCAAACTAGAAAATATAACTAACTTTTATTGTAATAACAAAAACTCAATGACAGATTTGTATCAAAAGATATGTCGTCATACATAATTACAAACAAATATGGAAAGATAGTAGTAGTACATTTACATGCCATGAGACAGAGTATTAGTTTTCATGAATAAAATATCTTGCCCTTTAATTGTGATCATGCAAGTCACCTAACTTTACCATTAAAGGAATCAGAAAAAAGTCGAATCATTCTGTTATGCCATATGAGCTTGATTCCTGAATACCTCTACAGGTACATACTACCTTTAGAACTATGAATTCACTGGTTGAGAGTCAGTCAGTCAGTTAGTTACAACAGAGAACTTCGAACGTAAGTACATCAGCTCAGGTTGCCATACCACATTAGCAAAGACATAACTGTCATTTCAAATTTCATAGTAGTTGAGATAGTAAACGTTTGAGAGTGATTGAGAAGATTCGGGTTCTAAGATATTACTCAAGAGGTATAATTTAGTGAGATAAATTTAGAAAGATGGAGGTGATGATGAATTAGAATTTCAGATAACATAAAGAGTGAATGCACCTGCACCACTGTACTACCTGATTACATGGCATATATGAATTCTGAACCTAAACAGAATTCAGTCTAAGCAAAAAGGCTGAAGCATGTTGACAGGTGGATCTAGTGTTTTGTAGCTTCAAGCTTAATAAGCATAAAATGTCTATCATCATTCACCCTGACATAATTATTAAATCTTACCTCTTAAGATGAAACAATGATGATTTGATAAATTAAAGATAATGAGCACTGAAGCACTCAAAAATTTGAAACCTCTAGTAGGATGAACACGAAATGGAGCAGAGCAAGTAGGAGGAGAGACAGGTGGATCTAAAAGATTACAAACTTTAAGTAGAATCAGTCAGTCAGATGCAACATAGAACTTCGTGCGTAAGTACATCAATTCATGTTGCCATACCACATCAGCACAGAGTTATAATTGTCAATTCAAATCCAATAGTAGAAGAGGTAGTAAAAGTATTAGAAGTAATCGGAGAGGTTAGGATTAGAAGATATTATTCAAGAAGTATGATTTAGTGAGAAAAGTTTAGAAAGTCAAAACTAGAGTTGTTGAAGAATCCAGAAGATTAGGATTTGAGAGAACACAAAGAATAAATGCACCGGCGACAATGGAAACGGTTTTGAACCATGTCATTCAGTGTCTCTAACCATCGATTATTATCATCTCGCGGACCCCAACCAGGTAGTCGACAACTACCGACATGGCTAAGTCCACATGTCCCAACTACCTCAACTGATGAAGTTTCACTACTTCATCTATTGATCTGCCATTCTTACCTAGCATCCGATTCCTAATAACAGCGTTGCTCACTCGGGTGTCCCACAATATACGAGCAATGCTTCGAAGACACCTATGATCGAAAACCAGTAACCTACGAATATCTTCTACTCTCATTGGCTATGTTTCACAGCCATAAAGTAAGACGGAGCGAACTACTGCGTAGTACACTCGTCCTTTAGTCAGCGAACGGATATCTCGCCTACGCCATAAGTGACGCAGGTTGGCAAAAGCCAATCGAGCCTTCTGTATCCGTGCTGAGATTTCGTCTTAAGTAGAATACTTTAGTATGCTTCCGAATAATCTCGACTTTCATCATAAGACGTCATAACTCTTCTAAAGGGAAACCTTACAATTCCCAGGACAGAGTCTAAGTGGGATGAATTATTGTTTCTAGTTGGCGAGTTAGTTTTCCACGGGATCCGGTCGCTAATCCCATCCCCAACCCTCTCTCCTCCCTTATCCAGGCTTGGGACTGGCAGTCCCCAGAGGGTATCCTCAACATTGTTTCAGTTTAAGAAAACAAATTGTTGCCGACCTTAGCTGCCGATATTACTAAAAAATGAAGGATAAAAGTCTGCATGACTGTTACATAGAGTAGTTACAGCTCTCTTAAATAGTGAAACAGTAATGTACACGAAATAATGACCAAAGCAAACTTACGGAAAAAGTTGGAGGTGATGGTACATCTAAGGTATGAACATTTTCTGAAAGATTTGATTTAGGGTCGAGAAATTTTTCTTCATTTTCTGGTATAAACCCTTTTGAGTTTACTGGATTTTCTCCAACGAAAGACGATAATTCTTCAGTTCTATGAGGAGTAAATTGTGGAAGAAGAGTGGGTCCAGTTGGTATCGACGCCTGAGATAGATTTAGCGTCAAACCAGATAGGTTAGGATTTGGGTGCATTGAGTTTGGTTGTCTTCCATAACTCATAGTTAAGGGTTGTCTGGACTCAGCGTAAACGTCCTTGGATCAGAAAAAAAACTGACTCCTCGTTCTTTATAAATTTTCTTTTATATTAATGTTAGGTAAGCGTGAAAGATGTCTATAAACTTGAGGGTGGGATTATTCCTTAGCCAGAATTGATATCTGTAGGAAAAAGAACGACATGCGACATTCAGAAGTAAAGACGATAAGTGAAAAACCAAAATCATATTTAAAGCCATTCGGTAATCGAAATTAGGGAACTAGATTTAGGAACATAAACGTCAGTGCTGGAACAGATTAATCATATCGAGATTAGGCTACAACTGGATATGAATATACTTAACGATGGCACCGAAACTATAAACTGAAGGTTAGAGTTTGTGCTTACGGAAAAGCCGAGGAGCATATCCTGGTCACTAATCCTGTTTTGCTGCTGGTGTAACAGTACTGGGAACCGTTCGGCGAAAGGGTTTCTAATCGATCTTGAAGGTGCAGACTTGTTGTGATTATAATTTTTGAGTGATATTCTTGTTTAAATTTTCCTTATCGGCTCCTCCCCTACATTTCTGGGTACTTTTACACTGAGTTTGGCCATACTTCAAAGTATAGCGACTTAGAATGATAAAAACCTGGGTAAGCACCAACTGTCTGTCACAGATTGGAATAAAAGTAAAATATGGCAAGATGGGGTTTTATGCTCATTTAAACGTCTTGATAGTTGCACTTTTGTATTTCAGTATTACTCAATATACAAGAATGGGGAAATTAATGCGAAATGTCTACTTTTATCCCATGATGAAGACTACTTAGACGAGTTTCCTCCAGGACGTAGACTATTCGGGGGATCTCTTTTCCGTGGACAACCAGTATACTCCCTCAGAACTTTTTCCTAGATATTTTGGTGAAACGACCACCTATAAGGATCTGGAGACAAACAGAAGTCATGATTTTGGGGACAAGATCCTGAAGATTTCCAAAACTTTCATACCTAAAACTCCAAGCAACTAAAAATTGGGGTATAAGGACGAAACCGACAGAAACAAAGAGTACATTTCGTGTGAAAATGAACGGAGAACATGCACCAGATCGTATTTTCCCATGACAAAGGGAAATAGTGCGGTATATCTCCTTTAATCGCTGTTTTTAATAGTCGCTGAATGCACAATTTGGATAAATTTATTCCAAATTCACGATATTTCTTTTAATTATACCCCGGATTTACTTGTTGCTTAAATGTACAACTTTCCTTTAAGTTTGCCCCTATAAAGTAAAATTTCCTAATATCAAATATCTTTTTTTCCGGAGCCAGTATAAACCGACTGATTTCTTTGTGCTTGTTTCATGTTTTTTGGTACGGTTCCAGGTATTAGATCGTGGTCAGACTATTATAACTAAGAAAATATACTACAATTAATTCAGTACTGGAGTTGATCGAAACACTAAACAACACGGATGTGTGGACTAGCTATAATTAGGTAAACTGAAGCAGAATTACAAAGTACGAAATCTTAGCGTCACAAACCAAGATTCCAAATCACGCTCCATTTATCTGCCTGCATATGATGACGAATAAATTGGATCTTTAATATTTCCGAAAATTTTAGTCATATGCTATCAGAAATTATGTTATACTACCACACATGTACTTAATCTTGTCAGCAACTCAAACGTAAAAAATGTATGTAAACAAGAATCATATCACTAACTCGGCTCTCATATAGCAACGTTATTGAATAGGTTTAAAAAGTAAATGTAATGCCAACCTTCGAATATAGCTATCACATTGCCAGATTGGAGATCAGTTAGTTGCCTTGTGGAGAATAATAAGGAAAAAATTCTAATGCTAATGAGAAGGAGATTTCAGAACCAAGTAAATAAATGGATAACTTAGTTTATCAACTGGAGGTGAAGATTGTGAGACTGGACCGAAGTGTAAGCAATGGAGAGGAAACGGAGATAATAAGCGAGATATGTTAGGTTGGAGATTTAACGAGATGGCAATAGCAACAATTAGCAGGTCTCACGATACGATTCAGGCACAGCCTGTCCACAAGGGAGATGATAATCCGTATGCAAGTACGTGTTTTTCACGTCTCTTCTTAATCTATCCACTGAGGGGGCGGTGGTCACTTCTACTGGGAGAGCATGCCAAGTTGCAACGCTTCTCCATGTATCTCTTCATTTTTTTCATTGATCCGTCCCTCCATCACCTCCCGCTATATTAAAGAAACCGATACTGATCTATAGCAGATTAGGTCTTTCCTATCTCCTACTTTGAAGATTGAAGATATAAGTGTTTGGCTTCATTATAATGGAAGTCGATTTGACGCTAGTTTAGGAGTGAACAGCTCAAGCACTTATGAACTGATGTCTTTCGCGTACCATGTCAATATTTATAGGAGTATATGGTCACATACTGTTGACATTGCTGGTCATAGGGATCTGGTGACGTCACTTGTAGGTTTTTTCAGTTTCGTACTTCTAAATTTCGTTACTGATCGCGTCACAAACTTCGGGTTTGATTCCCTTAACATTTCTACATCCCAGTAATAAAATTAGACTATGAAGTCTTATCAGCAGCAGCCCTACATATACTAGAAGTTCTTATGCCTACTATGATTCCTAAACTTTTATGATCTACTACTTTGGGTGGTATCCCCTCACCTGTATGATTCATGGCAGATCTTTTTATGCATCACAACACATTTACTAGGATATGCTTGAAATGGCCACTGGTATTTCCAGTCAGCCGATGAATGCAGGTCTTCCTGTAGTATTATCCTATCTAAATCGCATTTTATGTGCCCCCAAATCTGTATTGACTTGGTCGAAAATAAAACAGTAGGCTTTGCTACAGATAGTTTTACGCCCTAAGGTTTCGGACTATACTAGTTTTAGTCACGGCTGTGAATGAAAGACTTGATTCATTAGCTTATACTCCTAGTTTTTGGAACTTATTTCCTAGACCACGTGCACTTGTCACATAGGTAGCATAAGCTTCCATTACTTCACTACATCAAATCTCACAAATCAAGGATTTTTATCGTTTGTCGATGGATTTCTAATTCAACTACTGTCGCCCATTTTTTTGTGTTTCAGATACACATCAAGTCCTACTGAAATTTCGGTATTTTTTTGATGTTGAGCAATGGTTAACAGGAGATCTTGTTGTTCCACCAACCCTATTATAACCCTCAGTAGCTCTCTATAGTAAGCCAGTGTATCTTGGAAAATTTTGATCTAACTGAACAATCTTCTACAATAAATGTGTTTGGCATTCCCCATGTAGCAAACTGTTATTTAAGAATAAGTTATTATTTATCTTCTACTTAGGACAATAAACTACTGAATAATTGACAGTCAAAGAAGCGCCGTTTGTGGGAGTAGGTTTTATCTTGTTCTTTATTCTTTCTGCACTTCAATCGACTTCCCATCACTCTAGAGAGTCACGTCAAGAATGCTTGGAACAATAACGGTTTTTTCACGGTCTTCAAGTACAAACTCGGAGTCCTGGCAACCAACACTTAATGATATTACACTTTTTTCATGGGAAAATTTTTTCACTTGTTTCGTAGCCGGGCGTTACAGTGGTATATTATTCTCTCTTAGGGCTTCAGTTACCAGTGCAGCTGCCATGAACTTTCTTGTTGACTATAGCAAGCAAACCGATCGCCTCCTGGGCAAGTAATGTCTAACGTGCACAAAAAAATTCATGCGGATCCAGTGGGAGTTGGGCTACTAACACCTTTCTTATGCGGTGGGTTTCAAACAGACACATCTTGTGGAACCATTTGGTACAATCGTCATGCTGTATTCCATTCTCCGCAGAAAAGAAACGGTTCGGTTGTCCACATATCGAAGTACTGACAAAATGTAGGTAGGTTTGAGGATGAAACAGACGAAACAGACTGATATGAGAATCGACGAACTACAAAACGTTTAACCAAAATGTTTCACTCTAAAACAGACCAAAACTGCTTTCTATGTAATAAATACACAAAAACAAAGTTAATTCACGAGTATGAAAACCACCGTCCTCTTCAGAATGTGTGTTTATCCTTCGATGCCATCGTATCCATGTCACATGTACGACCCAATAATCCTTTTGTGGCATCATCGTTATAAGGTATGTACATAGCCCAGCATATGACCACTGACAGGATCAACTAGTTTACTCAAGGTCATATAAATCTAATTCGACGGGTAAAAGTAATTTAATATTGGTATTAAGGTGAACCAGACACCATATTGGTATTACCATTACAACCTGAACAGCACATACTGATTCTGTTGCGCAACCACACCTGTAACTCACATCCTGATCGATCATTTGCGCCATTTACGTACACCAGTACATATAATGACCATCAGGTGCAGAGGCTTAATCGTCTTGTAACGTAAAGGACGAGATAACCGGGGCAATGTAATTCCCACAGCAGTGCGAAGGTCTAATATTCATCGCCATTTTTGCATATCATGCCCTTTAGCTTCGTCCCAACTACCAAACTTATTCCGGTCGGTCCTTCGGTTTTCACTGATATTCCGTAGCTTCACTGACTAGCCACAGTTTGTAGCGTGCAACGTGCATTTGCGAGGGTAGTTAAACTGGGTTTCTCTGGAATATCAGTAGGATTTTTTCTAAAATCTGTACCAAATCTACAGTAACTCTTATTGAAGGGATTTCATCTTTCGATATGTCTTGACCTTGTCTGGAGTACATCCAATCATTAGCACTACACATTATCTGTCCCGCTGCTTTTATCAAAGACATCCCTACTTTCTGGTATGCCACCTTCTGACAATGGAACAATAAATAATATTGGGATATTTCGTTTTATGGAATCGTCCCCGATTTCTAGCTTTTTTGGATCTACGTTGATACCATCTTCCTTTTTAACACCCACACACTTCTCCGTTCCGTCGACAAGTACTGACGTATCGACAAAACCAGTTAATGTAGTTGGTGTATAGGCTGGGTTTGTGGCTGCCAAAGTTGCCCGTCTAGC